CACACGAGTTCCGCGCACGGACGGACGTAATGATCCGGCCATCGCGTCACGTTTCCACACCTTACGGTGGGGGTTATTCTGTGTCGGTTCCTCTCCTCGCGTTGTTGGATAACCTACATAGCCGCTGCGCGGCTATCTCCGAATATTTTTGACGTGTGTGTAGTCTATATAGTCTGTACACCGGCGCCAGTGCCGTCAGTGCCCACGCGAGAGGCGCTAATGCCTGTTTTTGCGCCTTGTCCGGACTGGCTGGGCGGTGGTTCACGGTTGCGCGGGTTGGCGTGCAACAGGTCCGTGTCCTCTGAGCTCCGAGCCTATATATCTGCGGTCTGCGCGGCCTGCGCGTCGTCTGTCAGAACTCAACGAATGGCTAGATAGTGAGATAGGCGAGGAACCATGGCGAGAAAGTCAGCACACAGTGTCACGGCCCCCAAAGAGCGGCAATGCTAATGCGTAATGGAGGTTTTGACGCTCTACTTGTACACCCGCGGCGCGGCGCGCACCTTGTCCGGGTCGACCCAGATCGACTTCATCGGGAAGAGCGACACCTGTTCACAGCTTGCTACACGCGTGAAGAGGCGCATTTCAGAGTCGACGCCCTCCGCCGAGAGAGAGACGTCCGCGGCGACGGTGACGTTGGACGTGAGCGAGGCGACGGTGTCGGGAGAGAGCATCGGCCCGGCGACGAGGGCCCACGTGCCAATCCACGCCGGCTCACGAATGTCCACGGCGCTGGTGAGGCCCATACCGCCCATCTTGACGGGCAGGCGCGCCTGCCTGCGCGCCCGCTCCCAGCGCTTGCCGGCGGCGCCGACCCGTGCCCCGCCGACGAGCTTGTATAGCGCCGCGTCAATCAGCTCGTCGTGCCTCTCCGCTGCCGGGAGGGTGACCGACGGCGTCCGCACCGGGTGCCTTCCATATGCGCGAAGCAGCTCGGCGATGAGCAGTCGCCCGAGCGAGGGGACGGACGGACAAGATGCGAAACTTCGGAGTTGACAACGCGTCGAGATGGGCACGTGAAACTCGGCAGCGAGATAAAAAAGAAATTCAAACTGGCAGTTTCGTTCTCGCCTCGTGGGGGCGTGCCACACACACACAGTGTGTGGGTGGAGATGCGCCGGTGCAGAGTTCTGGGTGCAGAGCGCATCTAGGCCGCCGCACGGTGGCATCTTCGAATAACAAAGAAAACCACGACAAACGAGGCCTCCGCCGAGGTGACCGAGGAGCGCAGAGCTGTGTATGGCGAGCTACAGCGCGCTTGACGAGGAGGACGCGCACCCCTACGGGGTTCCTCTCGATGCCATGGCCCGCGCTGCGGTGCTATCGAACGGCGCGAATGCAGGACTGCTCGCCGCCGGAGATGTTCCCGACGCCGGCCGCGAGGTGGCGCTGAGCCTCGCAGGCCTGCTGCCCGACGGGCCGGTGTCAACGAAAGCATTGAGCGATCTGGCCAAGGGGCTCCGGCCGGATGAGCAGGCACTAGTGGCTGCCGAGGCCACCCTGGCTAGAGGCACACGTCTTAGCACTGGCGTCGTCGAGTTCGTTCAGCGGTGGTCGGAGGGGACAAACGCCATCTTTGCCATTTCCAGCGACAACTACGTCACCGTGCTGGCTGCCGCGACGAAGGTCGATAGGTCACTATCGGCCGTCGGTTTCGTTCTCAACGCCGAGTGGATGGCGGCGAGGCGAAAGGAAATGGCCCCGTTCGAGCCGCGGGTGCTGCTCTTTGCTCAGTACGCTGTCGCGCTGTGGCAGCAGCTGAGAGATGGGGCCTCGATCGTCGGTGCCCACAAGGCGGAACCCTGCCCCTTCGCGCTGGGCGAGGGCGATGCCTCCGACGAGGCGCTCGATTGCGCCGCTACCCGCTGGCGCATCCGCGCAGAGCTACCGCGGCGCCGCTTCACCTTGGTCGTCCAACGCCTCTTCGGGGCCCCCCTCGGTATGTACTATGAGCATCACACCAACGCCATCATCGATTCGATTGAGTCGGGCTCCTTCAAGGACCAGGCGCTTGGCCTTCACCGGTGCATCGGGGCTCTGGCCTTTGACGAGGTTTGCGACGCCTTCAACGTCGAAGTCCGCGACCCCTGCCGCACGAAAGGAACGGGCGAGGCGGGCGAACGCTCCGTCCAGGAGGCGGTGAGGCTGGGCGTCAACGAGGCCGCGAAGAAGAAGGCCAACGCGTGCTTCCGCCGCGCGGCCGCAACGCTCTCCCCCCACCTGCAGCCGCTCGTTTGCAAGTTCGAGCCCCGAAAGGCCGCCGCACAGGTGAGAAGCCGACCCGAACGTGTCGAGGCGAAATTACCCCTGATGATCCGGGATTACCTGAGATTAGGCGACGCCGACATGCTGCTCGTGGCGACTCGAGATGACCTGAGATGACCCGAGATGGCCCGAGATTAGGCGACACGGACGTGCTGCTCGTGGCGACGCGAGGCGACCCGAGATGACCCGAGATGACGCGATGTAGGCATACTACCTGAGCCGCGTCCTCTGCCACGCGTCCGTCGACGGCCGCGCGCGGACCATGCCTCTCTTTCCGCGCTGCATGGAGCTACGTGCAGACTGCGCTCTCGGGCTGCGAGCGTGGCCAACACAAATGATGTCGGGCCATTTGAGCGCGGTTGGCGTGTCGCCCGAGGAGGACGCGGCGCAGGTCAACCGCATGACGGTGGTGACCGTCATCGCTTCGTCCCTCGCGGCGGCGCAGGTGGCGGCCGCCGCAAAAGAGACGAACGCGGAGGTACGGCATACCATGCTCCCTTGACCCCTATGCAGTGCGCCACACACGTATCTCGGCCCCTCCGTAGGCGCGTTGCGACGCTCCCTTGCAGGGCGGTGCGGAACCCTTTCCTGGAACTCTCCTGTGTGTCCTTAGGCAAAGGTGAAGCTGCTGCGGATGGCGGTGGACGAGCTGAAGACCGTGGCGGTCACGGCGACGCTCGCCACCGCGACGCCCTTGTCCAAGGGCGCAAAGGGATATTCGGCACGTATCCGACGTTCGTCGCTCTTCAAGTCCACCGCATTAGCACAGCAAGCCAAGGTCCTGGCGGCATCGGGCGATTCCCTCCTCACCACGCTCGACAGCATCGGTGTGCCAGGGGCGTCCGGTGTCGCCGCCACCAACTTGTTTGCTCTTCCGTGAGATCCGTCAGATTCTTCTAGTCTCTGATCGTTAGGCGCGAGCGCCTTGGTTCAGGCGGCGATCGAGGCTGCCAGCACGTCTGGCACTGCGCTGGCCAACGCGGCGCGCGCGTACGAGACGGCGATGGCGTGCCGCTGCGTAAGAGGTGTGGGCTACTGCATACCCACGCCGCGGCTGAATTCCCGGTAGGCGCATGCGACGGCGCTGTCCGGCTATGTGAACGAGCAGGAGACGAAGCTGCGCCGGGCGAGCGATGCGTTCGTCGCACCACGAGGCCTGGCGCCAGAGACCGCTCGGGGCAGTGAATGCTTCACTCTTCAGAGTTTGTGCTTACATTAGGCGCTCGCAAGCGGAAGCGCGACGGCGAGGAGAGCGAGGCGGGTGGTGAGGAGAGCGGCGAGGAGGGCGGCGAGGAGGGCGGCGGCGAGGAGGGCGGCGGCGAGGGGGGCGGCGGCGAGGAGGGTGGCGGCGAGGAGGGCGGCGAGGAGGGCGGCGGCGAGGAGGGCGGCGGCGAGGAGGGCGGCGGCGAGGAGGGCGGCGGCGAGGAGGGCGGCGGCGAGGAGGGCGGCGGCGAGGAGGGCGGCGGCGAGGAGGGCGGCGGCGAGGAGGGCGGCGGCGAGGAGGGCGGCGGTGATGAGCGGTGGGATAGGTTGAGCGTGGCGCCGGCGCCAGAGCTCAAGCCTGCCCGCCGTGTGGTTGCGCTGGCAGGTACAGCATAGCGGTGGTGACGCTTGCGAGGAACAGCGACAAATGCCTTTTGACCCCATGAATTTAGGCGGCGAGGAGGAGGCCGATGCGATGACTCCGGAGGCACTTGCGGGCCTACTACGCAAAGACGTTGAGAGGCAGGTGCGGGAGCTGAACCCGACAGCTTGACGGGCCAGGTGAAAAGGGACGCGTGCCCTCGCAAGTGGCGTGAAGGCCGCGTAATGCTTGTTTGATTTTGATATAGGCGGCCGTTTCGCCATGAGCGTCCCATTCAAGTTCGCTCGCTGCGCCATTTCTAATACCCCCGCGGCGCAGGGCGACGGCTCGCCAGCTGCCGCTTTTCGACAGTACGCCGAAGTGGCTTCATGGTTGAGCCCAGCCGCTTGCGAAGCCGCGCGTATGCCTCGCGAGCCGTTTCTGATGCCTCGGCGGTCGGCTCGCTATTCGGCCCGCCGTTTCTTTTGTGGGGCAGTAGAGAGGATGTTCACAGGCGGACGACTGGTGCTGCGCGGTGTGCCAGTGTCATTCCGGCTCTACCGCCCGGAGGAGGGTTGGTCGCAGTGGCTCGCAAAGCCGCAATATCTGGGCAACCTGAGTAGCCCTGAGTTTTACGCCACCCTGTACTGATGCGCTAGTGTCGACTTCTTGTTCTACCTGTGTTAGTGCCGGCGATTACATGTTTTGGTGAAGCACCTAGAGCACGTCGCCGCGTGGCGCGAGGAGCGCATCGGGACGGCGGTGCGGGCGCTTGGCGCAACGCTGCACAGTCCGCTCTGTGGCAGGGGCGCCGTATGAATCCCTGATGCGTGACCTCGAGGCCTCCGGCACGCCATGCCGCGTCGCGCGTGTGCGCGCAGACGGGCGGCGCCGTGGCTGTCGGCGACCTCTTCAACGCGCAGTTTGTGTCCTTGCTCCCGCCCGGAGTGGACGCCTTTGGTGAGAAGGCGAGTTCCACACACTGGCAGAGGTAGCGTCAAGTGATCCGTTGTCATGACGACGGACGCCAGCACACGTTCATTATACGCCGCGCAGCCCGCACGAGGGCCGCGCACAAAAACTCGGTTCCTTTAAAACTGCAACACGCGTCGCCGCCGGCGCCCGGCGCGCACTCTTCTCGTCTTCTGTCGACCCCTCACACAAGGCTCGCTCACCACACCTGCTCCCCGTGCCAGAGCTCAAGTGGGAGAAGGAGGAGGGCGGCCTCTTCTACCTCGCCCGCAGCGAGTACACCTCGCGTCCGAGTGGCGTGTCTGCCTCCACCTCGGAGCGGAGCAGGTCGCCTGCAGGGGAGGGCGGGCAGGGCCGGGGATGGGCCAGAGAAGGGTCAGTCAAGGTTCGCAATCTCGGGGCCTCCTGCGCCCGCGAGGGTCGATCTTGGCTGCATCTCGGCCGCATCTCGGCTGCATCTCGCCGCAGCTGACGTGCGAGACGTCGCACTCGTCGACGAGGCGGCGGCAGAGGACGCCCTTGCCGCTCCCGGGCCCGCCCACGACCAGGATGCAGCGCGCCTCACCGCGTGTCCCGGACGTGTCCCGGACGTGTCATGCGGCCGAGTGGGCAGAGAGCCCAACGAAGCAGGCTGCTGCACCGGGTTCGAGGCGAGCAGCGCGTCCGAGGCGTGCAGAAACTCGTCCAGGTCGATGGCGCCGCTGCTGTCGACGTCCGCCTGCGGCACGCGGATGGTCGGAGCGGGCGAGCGCCGGGATGCCGGCAGTGCTGTCTGTCGAGGTCGCCACCTGGTGGAAGAGCTCCTCGAGCGTGGCATCGTCCGGCCTCTCGCCCACGCTCGCGAGCAGCGCGCGGAGGCCGTCGCGGTCAAGCTGCCTCGCGGGGCCGGCATAGTCGTCGAACAGGTCGATGATGGCCGACATCTCGAGCGGCAGAAACGCGCGGTTCGCGGACTGCGCCGCTTGCCGCTGCCGCAGCGAGCGCGCAAAGACGCGCGCCTTTTTGGACGGCGCCGCTGCCTCGAAGCCGTGCGGGAGCGGCGCGGACGCGAGGATCTCCTCCGCCTCTGTCACGGCCCGACCGGGCCAAAGCCGGTCGAGCCGCGCGTCGCCGTCAGGCTTGAGCGGGTCGTCGCCCTTGTCTTGCGAGGAGGCGGCTCGGCGAAGCAGCTGTGATGGCGCGCGCGTCAGTCGCGGCAGGCGAGTGCTCAACGGGAGGCACGGCGGCCGTGCTCGCATGCGCGGTGGATGAAGAAACGCTGTCCGCCCTAGGACAGGGTGAGCAGGTTTTGGCTCCCATCCCTCCCTTGGCTTGTCCCTTTTCTTTCTTTTCTTTCTGAGCAGGATTTGGGCAGGACGATCAGGGCGGCGCTGATTTCGCCCGTTTTTCCTTGTTGAAATAAAATAAACAAGAAAACAGCCAACCCAAGGCAAGAAGGCGAAATTCTTTTGTTGCGTCCAACACCGACAACCATCATCTCAGCGTCCATCCTGCGCGAACCGTCGTCGTCTCTGCGCTGGGAGGACGGCTGCAGCCGAGACGCGGTGCCGCAACTTCAGCGGACGCACAACGCGCTGGCGGCGCTTGTGCAGGAGGAAGCGGCGACCGAGACAAAGAAAGAGGCGGAGAGGCATACGGTGTTGGGGAAGCGGGAGCGGGAGGCGGACCTGGAACGTCTTCTCGGGTCAGGGAAAGGCTCCATCATGGGCCCGCGCAAGACGGGCCTCACAAACTTCCAGCTCGACAAGCTGCTCGACTCATACGGCGTCGCCGCGGCGGACCGAGGAAACAAGCAGGCCCGGCAGGATCGCGCCAAGAGCCTGGTGGAGAACGAGCTCAACAGCCTGCGCGCGGAGCTGTCCGTCTACTCCGCCCCCACCGTCGTGTCGGCCGTGAGCACCGGCGCTGAGGGCGAGGCCGCGAGCCTGATATCGGCGAGCGGCGGCGGCGCGCTGCCTGCCGCCTCCCTCGTGGCCGGGGTGCTCGGTCCTGCGACCAACTCCGCACCCGCGGCCTCGGAGAGCTTCTTGCCGGTGGCGGCCGCTGAGGTCACCTCGCCCGGGCTGCTCGCGGCTGCGGTGCGACAAGACCGCCCCTCTTTGCCCGGCTCCTTCTCTACCGCCGCAGCAGCTGCCGCCTCGCCTCCCCTCCTCCCAGCCTCTGCCGCAGCCCAGCACGCCCAGCACGCTCGCCAGCCCGCTCCCACCGCCCCGCTCCGCAGGCGGCCTCCGCCTTTGCCGAGACCGCCAACCACCTCCACAACCTCGCACAAGCGGCAGACACGCACTGAGATGCTGCTGAGACGCTGCGTCACGCAATGCCCCTCCCAGCGCCCAAGAGAAGAAGGCACGGGCCGCGGCTGCCCGCCCTCGGTTCCTCGCATTGCACCAGTCGCCCTTTCGTAGCCACGCGAGGTTCTGAACACACCGCACGACTCTCCCCCCCCCCCTTCCCCTCTCTCCCTCCGCGTCTTCACACTCCACGCAAGCACTCTCCCGCATCCTCACTCTCGGCTGACTCTCGGCTGACACGCCTCCCGCACCCTCAAGGCGAACACCCTCCCGACGACCGTCTCCGACACGGCGTCGCATGCCCTGCCCCCCTCGCTGCCGGGCGCGTTTGCCGCAGGCGCCGCTGCGTCGCGAGGGGCCGAGCGCGCCGCCGGCCGCGTGGGCTCACGCTGCGAGGCACTGCGAGTAGGCGCGTTCGCCACGAGTAGCGTGGGACCCTGGGCGGGCGACTGAGCTACGGCTCGGCAGCTACGAAACGGTGCGTGCACGTGGGGCTTCGAGTGCCTTCAGCGCCTTAGGGTGTGAGGGCGGTGGGTCAGATGAGAGCGAGGAGGGTTTAGGTCGGGTAGCATGTGGGGGGTTGGCCGCGAGGCTGGGGAGTGCCCGCTGTGCCCGGTGGTCGAATAGACAATAGAAATTCTGATAGTGGACACCGATGCCGCAATTCTCTTTCTCTCATTTACCTGGTAAACGCAGGCGTGGACCTCCATAGTGGGTGGAGCGTGGACCGACACCGAGAGGACACACGCTCGCAGGGCCCAGGGGGGGGGGGGTCCCAGGGGGGGGGTGCGGGGGTGGACAGCGGTGTGTGTGTAAGTGTATCTGTGTGACTCTGTGTGTGTGTGTGTGCGCGCGCCTCTCTCTCTCTCTCTCCCCCTCTTCTCTCGCTCTCTCCCACGCGGCACTTATCATATAAACGCGGCCGCCGACTGTTGTGGGTCCCGCTTGATCTCGCCTGGGGCTAACGGTACGCACGGTGGTGCGGTGTGCAAACGTGTTCGGTTGCTCCACTTCGCGCTCCTTTTTATTACCGCCGCTTGCTGCAGTAGACTGTCTCTCTCTCCCAGGAGCTATGAGGTAGCGACGGCGCGCTAGGCTACTCCAAGTCGACTGTCAGCCGACCATCGCTGTTTCGGCTTAGCAGAAGAGCTGCTCGTCTGCGCCGCTGCACGCGACCTCGACGTAGTGGGAGGATGGTCGACCTGTCGCCGTGGACGACGACGTGCCGCAGAGCAGCCAGATCAAGCCGACAGGCAGGAACATGAGTGGGCAGGAAACGGAAGCGCCGTAACGGCGAACATATTGCAATAACACTTTGATTCGAACTCATGAACTCCGATGACATCTTTTCCCGAGCACTTTTTTCTCGTCCTCGTTGACGCGTTTATGATTGTGATTTGTGTGGCCTGTGGCGAGGGTGCGACGGTGTATCATGCACAATATGTTGGCCTGTATACTTTTCGGTTTTCCGGCAAACAAAAAGGAAAAGAGGGGCCCCAGCACTTTGCGTTTCCGGAAATTTCCAGGGAAAACAGAGGGTTTTGGTGCTCCATTCTGGAAACTCGCGAGTTTCCCTGAGTCTGAGAGCTGGTCTGGGGCAAAATCTGAGTGAGGCAAAATCGAGGAAACCGGCAACATCCCGGGCTTTTTCCAGGTATGTATGTATCTAAGGAAGGGAGTCAACTTTGATGGGGGCAGCCAAATTTGGTCGACCGCAAATCGTGGAGCTGGGAGTCACGCTCGGGCAGACAGCGTCGATGCCGTCGCCGGACGCGGCGGCGAGGCACACGGGCGCCGGCGTGGCGCGTCGGCAGGCCCACCACGAGCGGATGCGCGACGAGCGCGCTCGGGAGGCGGCCGCGGGCAACGCGGAGCTTCCGCCGGAGGACGACGCGGTCGAGATGGTGAGCGCCGCCCAGCTGCTGGACAGCGTGGCGGAGGCGGGCCCGAACTACACCCTGCTGCGCTGCAAGGAGACGAAGGCGAAGCGGCGGAAGCGACAGCGCGAGGATGGCAGGGCGGCGCTCAACGGCCACACTGTCCTGCCCACCGGATCGCGCCTCGAGATCTTCTGCGACACCGAGCGGTGGTACCCCGCGACCGTCATGGGCCGGGAGGAGGACGGGGACGGACGGATCGCGCACCAGGTCGAGTACGACGGCTACCCGGATCGGCGGTGGTGGCACATGCTGGACGACGAGCGGTGGCGAGCCGTCCCAGAGCAGGCCGGCACGGGCGCAGGAGGCGCCGCCGCAGACGTGGACGGGGATGCGGCGATGGACCGCGCGGACGGCGAGGGCGCCCGTGCCGCGGGTGCCGCCGAGGCGGCCGAGGTGCGGCCGGCGCCGCCTCCCGCGTGCCGGGGTGTGCGGCGCAGCGCGCTGGCGGACGTCCTCGAGGCGGAGGACGACGAGCGGCAGGACGAGGCTACGCGTGGCGACGAGCAGCCGATGCTAGCGCCCCACGGGCCGGCGCTGTCGGTGCAGCTTCGGCGCGTGCGCCTGCAGCTGCGCGAGTTCCTTGCAACGCAGGCCGCGGCAGGGAAGAGCGTGCCGATGCAGCGGACGGCCCTCGGTCTGCACCCGACGATGCGGTGGACGATCCGCTTCGGCAAGTGGCTGGCGACGACGCGAGTCAGAGCATTGAGGGCGAGCCGGTGGCACGCGACCGAGCGGGGCGACGCGCGGGAGGAGGAGCCGACGGTGCGCACGGGTCGCGGCGAGAGCACGGTCTACGTCGCGCTGCAGCACATGAAGAACCACGTGTGGCGCGAGATCTGGCCGGCGATGCCGAGCGACGCGAGGCAGTACTGGCGGCTGGTGACCAACCAGGTGATGTCGCTGTTCGACGGCGGCGGCGGCGGGATGAAGGACGCGGCAGGAGCCGCCGGCCGGGCGGCGGGCCGCGAGGCGGCGCGGGAGAGCGCGTCGCACGGGCAGAGCGAGGCGGCGCAGCGGGCGGCGAGCGAGAGGGCGAGCGCCGAGGCGAGCCGGCGGACGATGGCCGAGCTGCGCGAGGCGACGACGAAGCCGTGCACGAGGCAGCACCTCTTCCAGGTGGGAGAGTACCAGATGCAAGACACGCAGCTGCTAGAGCCGTTCGAGGTGAACGTGGCCTTCATCATGAACGCCTACTTGTGCTTCGCGCGGCAGACTGGGTGCCGGCCGGGGATGGCGGTGAACGATGCGGCGGACGCGGCCGATTCGGACAGCCACTGGCGCGCGTCTCCCGCTGAGAGAGAGAGGGAGAGGCGAGTAGGACGGCGCGGCGTTGGCGCGTGATGGGGCGAGATGCCACTGAGCCGTGCCGCTCGCCGGCAGGCACGAGCTGCCGCCGCTGACGATGGGCGACCTGTCCATCGCCGCGGATGTGCTGCTGCGGGGACTAGACGGGGCGGGCGTGATGACCGAGGGCGACTTCGAGGCCCTCCTCCGAATGGAGGTGACCTTCGCGCGCAAGAAGGGCGAGTACTACGCGTGCTACGAGTTCGGGACGGCGATCACGCCCGACTCGGACCAGATGATGCGCATCGGGACGCTGGCGATGGTGCGCTTGCTGCTGCGCTCGTCGCAAAACTGCGTTGGGTCTCGAGTTCGAATCCTGCAGTTCGACGGTACCCAAACCGGATGCATCTCCGCACGTGGCACGACCCAGGAATGCAGCGTTGACGGCGGCACTGGGGGGGGTTGATCACAATGCCGCCTCTGCGGGCCGAGCCCGCCCAGCAAGTGAATGATGCCCGTCGCACAGAGGGTCTCTGAGAGGAGGTGACACTGACAGGGCTCAGGGGTGAGGAGGTGTGAGGGGGTCGCGGTCCTCGGCCCCCGCAGGCGCGGATTTTGTAGGAGCGGTGCCCCGGTGCCGGACTGGCGGACCTTAAGACGAGTTTGTTGTGGTTCAAGTGAGTGACACAGAAGGGCAACACACAAGCCGAGTGTGCGACGTGTGCGAGCGCAATCGCAGCGGGCGCCGTCGTGTGCGGGGTGTGACGATCGCGACAGAAATCTCGCCAGAAAACGTAAAGACGCCTCGCGTCACGCCGAGGGTGCGACAACCTTGCCGTCCTGGCCTATCTTGACCGTCGTCGCGGTGGCGGGAGCCGTCGTCTCGGCCACGGCCGTTACCACCTCCTCGCCAAACGCGCCTGTTCGCGGCAGCTCCGGGTGAGATGCGAGAGCGCTGGCGCGCGGGCTCGTCGGCAAGATGCGGCGCCAGAGTCGAAGGACTCGCCTGCGGCGGTGGCCGCCTCCTCGGCCCACGCCTCGGCCAGCGCCACCGAGATGGAGTCGGGCTCGCCGCGCGCCGCCTCGAGGAAGGCGTAGATCGAGCCAAAGTCGCGCGACGCGAAACCGCGCTCCGCCGACAGTCGGTAGAGGCGGCGGGCGTGCTCGGCGGAGGGCGTGGGCGCGCCAACGGCGGCGGCGGCGTCGAGGGCGAGGCGGAGGTCCTTGAGCATGAGCGACGTTGCGAAGCCGCCCTCGTACTCCCTCGCCGCCGGCACGCCCTCAAGGATGCCCGGCACCTGTTTTCAGCGCGGCAGCTGTGAGCAGACGCCAGCCTCGCCGCCGGCGCGCCCGCGCTGCCCGGCACCGGGTTGTACGTGTCGGAGGACCAGCAGCGGGCGGTCGAGACGTTCATCACCTGTCGCGTGCGGCGGCGGCGGTGCGAGGGCTGCGGCGCGGCCGTGCGGCGCAAGAGGCGAGGGAGGCGAGCACGAGCCCAGTGCGAGGCGCGGTGCGGCGGGGCGGGAGGGACGCGACGGGGCGAGGTGAGGCATCGCACTTGACTCCCGCGCAGCTGATCTCGGCGCGTCTCGGCGAATCTCGGCGCGTCTCCATCTCGGCGCATCTCGGCGCATCTCGCCTGGGCCAGCACGTGCGGGTCGACGCCTTGCGCCTTGCCGAGCGAGAAGGCCTCTGCGGTGGCGAGCATCTGGAGGGAGAGGGCGAGGTTGTTCGCCAGCTTGACCGCGAGGCCGGCGCCCACGCTCCCGCACCGCACGGGCGGCTTGCCCATCTGCGTGAAGAAGGGCGTCGCGGCGGCAAACGCGGCGTCCGAGTCGGACCCGACCATGAAGGTGAGGCTGGCGCTAGCGGCGCCGGGCGCGCCGCCCGAGACCGGCGCGTCGAGAAAGTCGCACCCGTGCGCCGCCGCCGCTGACGACATCTCGCGCGCAGTCGCCGGCTCCACCGTCGAGCAGTCGACGAGGAGCGTCTGAGGCTTGCAGGCAGAGAGCAGGCCGTCGGCGCCCGTGTAGACCTCCCGCACCGCAGCGCCGGAATGCAGCATCGTGAAGACGGCGCCGCCCTCGCCGGTCACGGCGGACGCCACCTCGGCCGGCGACGATGCAAAGGTCGCGCCGGCGGCGGTGAGCGGAGCGGCCACGGCAGGGTTGAGGTCGTGCACGACGAGGCGGCGGCCAGCCTTGAGCAGGTTGCGCGCCATCGGCAGACCCATGTTGCCGAGCCCGATGAAGCCGACGCCAGGGAGACCCATGCTTGCCGGACGGGGGTAGGCTGCTGGAGAGAAGGAGAGGGCGGGATGGGAACGGGGACGCGGCCGGCAGTACATCAGGTTTTTTTCGTGTAGGTATTGTGTGGATACAATCTTTTTTATTTGCTGACGCCTAGCGGCCTTCTCTCGAGTAACTCTACGTCGCGAGCAGCTGCGCGGTAGCGCGAAGCCGCGTAGGGACGACATGGCGGCCACGACGGTCATCATCGCCTCCTACTCTGGCTTCCTGAAGGAGGAGGCCACATCGGTCTGCGCGGCCGCCATCAAGGCGCTCACCGAAGGGATCCGCCGCTCGACGGCGACGACGCTCATGGGGCTGCGCAACGACCTCATGCAGGCGGGCGAGGCACTCAAGCAGTGCGACGACGCGCCCATCTCGATTGAGTCGCTCTGCGAGCTCTTCGTCCGCTTCGTCACCCGCACCGCGCTCGACGTGCCCGACTTTGGCTCGTGCAAGGCGCTCCTCATCGAGCGCGGCGAGATGTTTGCGCAGAAGGCGCAGGCGGCGCGCGACCGGATCGCGCAGCTGGGCGCGCCGTTCGTCACCGACGGCGCGATGGTGCTCACCCACGGCTACTCGCGCATGGTGCTCGGGGTGCTGCTCGCTGCGGCGGCACGCGGCTGCCACTTTTCGGTGCTCGTCGCCGAGTCGCACAGCGGCGGCGGCGGGCACGCGACGGCGCATGAGCTAGCGCGCGCGGGCGTGCCGGTGACGATGATCGAGGACGCGGCGGTCGCGCATGCCATGGCGAGGACCTCGCTCTGCCTGAGCGGCGCCGAGGCGGGCGGCGCCGCTGTCGCGGCTGGCTGTGCGGACAGGGTCGCCGACGTGTTTTCCCTCGCCCCCTCCCTCAGGCGGTGGTCGAGTCGGGAGGCGTCCTCTCCAAGACGGGCACCTTCCAGATCGCCATCGTCGCCGCCGCCTGCAAGAAGCCGTTTTACATCGCCGCAGAGAGCACAAAGTTCGCGCGCAAGTTCCCGCTCTCGCAGCTCGACCTGCCCGCCGCAGAGGCGCGCGCCTCGGGCACGGCGAGAGGGAGGCGGTGGGGCGGCCCTGCTGAGCCCCTCCCTCCCTCCCCTCTAGGCGCGCCGGGAGCACGCAGCCTTTGCCGGCAGAGGGCCGCCGCCGCCCACGCTGCGCGCAGAGACGCCGTCGCGCGACTACACCCCGCCGTCGTACATCACGATGCTCTTCACCGACCTCGGCGTGCTCACCCCCTCCGCCGTCTCGGACGAGCTGATCAAGCTCTTTACGTAACAGGGGGATCCCGAGCGCAGCGCCGCACCGATCTGCATCGGCGTGTGGGGCAAACCGAGACGAAAGTCTCGCACAACATCGATTTCTGCAGAACACACGAAAAAGAAAGAAAGAAAACAGAGGCCCAAGGTGTGGTGCACCGATTTCTTTTTTGTTTGCTTTCTGTACCGGCGGCACGCTTTCTCTTTGCTCGACCGGAGCGGTAATATGTTCGGGTGGGTCCTACTCTCGGTGGTGCAAAGGTCGTCGCCGTCTTCTGCCGCCAGGTGCGCGCCGCCGGTGCAGCAGGAGGGTTCGCGGCCGCCGCGGCAGGTCGAGAAGCTGAGAAGCCTCGGGCGGATCGAGACGCCGGCGGCGCAGCCAGCCCCTCATCCGCGGGCCGACCACGCGCCGGCGGCGGGCAACAGGGCGTACGCACGAGCCAGGCGGGAGGCGCGCGCGGCGGCGCAGGAGCAGCAGCGCTCGCTCGCGGAGTGGGCCTCGGCGAGTGGGAGGAGCGGGCGAGGGGGTGCGTCGCCGGTTGACATGGCGCCCGTCGAACTGCATGCGCCCGATGTGGTGGCGGGCGGCGGCGGCGAGAGTGGCGCGTCGAAGCTCGAGGCGGCGGACGGCGGCGCGGGAGGCGCGGGAGGCCCGCTGGCGCCCGAGGTTGTCAGCGGCGGCGCGAGCGGCGTGCTCGGGTTTTCCTGCGGCCGCGCGTGCCGCGCGGCGGAGGAGGCGGCGGCGCTCGGCCTCGGCGCAGCCTTTGTGTGCGCGACGCTGCTGAGCCGCGCGGGGTACGTCGCGATTGACCACTCCAAGGTCGAGAAAGACCTCGTCTCTCTCCTCGACCACAACAAGGGCGCGCGCCCGCCCTCTGCTGCTGCGCGCCTCTCCCTTTCCGCCCGCCCCTGCCCGCCCCGGCCTCGCCCTCCCGCCGCCTCCGTACACCCTGCCCCCGCCGCTCCACCCCTCGCAGACGGCCGCATCGACCGAGACGACTACGCCTTTGCTCTGAGGAGGGTCGCATCGGCCCTGGGCGGGCACGGCGTCAGCAGCTCTGCCGGATTCGCCGCCGGGTTCGTGCTCGGCTTCATGGGCGACTGACGAGTGCGCCATGTAAACTCCACATCAATTCTTCACTTCCCGGCGCACCGGACGTGGCGACACAACTCGATCGGTCGTAGACCAAGACGCGGCATGTTTGGAGAGTTGGAGAAGAAGTTCTGAGAGTTCTGAAACGTGTGTCGTGAACGAGCGCTTGTGGTGAGAACACTTGTGAGAATGAGATTATAGTGTGCCTCGTTTGCTTGTGTCATGTACAACCAGCAGTATCGTAGACATACATTATCAGGACTCGCGATTTTTCACGGTGCGGTCCCGTAATATATCGTATCACACACAGCTATATCCTGCCGCATGCCGCGCCCTCTCATGGAGAGTCTCTTCGCCAGCGGAGGGGAGAGGCGAAGGCGCGGCGCCAATGAGACAGCGCCGCCTCGCAGCCGCTCCCACGCAGCGTTGGCCTCGTCCACCACCGACGGCTCTGCCGCTCCGCTATCTGCGCAGGAGAAGCAAAAGTTGGACTCTGCGCGGAGGAGCTCAGCCGGATCCATCAGGCGGTAGTAGTTTCCCTCGCTCGGCGCCTGGGTGACAAAGGGCGCCGGGCTCCCGAACTCGCCAGACGCGTACAGCAAGGCGAAGAGAGCAACTGAGAGAAGACCGGCCGGGCTTCGCAGCCCGCCGACGCAGATCTCAGCGAGCAGGACAAGATTGCCGCCCACAGCCCCACCCACCGCCTTCAGCTCCGCCAAGCCGCTCTCCAGATCATCTCCCGCCGGAGCCTGGCGTTGCTCTGCGACCCGTAAATCTTGATCGGCATCATTCGCAGAGACGCCGTCATCGTTGCCGGACCGATTACCTTCATCGGAAGCAGGGCTGCCAGCGTCACTCGAGACCAGCCTCTCAAGCGCCGCGCGCTTGGCCTCAAAACGCTTGTTCGGGTCGCCCGTCGCCTCGATATCCGGGTCGTCGCCCGTCGAGCACAACACAACGTCGCCGTGGCGCGACGTCTGGCGCGATGAGTGCAAAGGTGGCAGCATTGGTATTGGCGCGCGAAAGAATTTTTCCGACGACGCGGGACTGGCGCGCACTGGCACTACACAGGTACACCACGGGAGCCGCCTAAGCGACTCCTGAGAGGGCGGCGAGGCACTTAGCTCCGTGCACCCGCCCGCCCCCGCCACAGGCGAGCTCATTCACAATCTGCTCTGCGATTGCCGTGTGAAGAACGACCGAGATACGCTGCTTCTGCAGCCCCAGCCAATTCTTAGTGGTCCAAGTCACCTCATCGAGGTACTGGGCCCGCGTCAGCTTGTTCAGAGTAACACGTCCGCCGCCTTCCGGAGGATCTCACGGACCCTCCTCCCGAACCCGCCGAACGACTCGAACAGCAAGCAGCTGCACGTCAACGTCCTTATCTTCCCTGGCGTAGCGATAGTCCCCGCCGTAGGACGGTATGCGGCGGTCGCCGCCCACCACCCTGCCCCCCCCTGGTATGCCAGAGATTGCCAGCGCCCGGTCCCTTGCCCTCTCTCGCCCTTTGCTCTTCCTCTCCCCCTCCCATGCCGCTCCCCCCCCCGTACCCCTCCTCCTCCCCCTCGTCCTCGGGGAAAGAATTAAAACACGCCTCCGAGAGCATCTGAGAGCAACTCAAATCGGCTCTAAGCGCGGGCTCAGCGGAGCTGGGAAGAGGACCGCCGCAAGCGGCGTGGCGTGGAGCGGTTGTGCATCCCTCCGGGGGCCCCTCTGCGCCGCTGCGCCCCGGGGAGGCGTTGTTGGAGGCTAGGACGCAAGCGTCCGTCGCCCTTTTCAAACTCGGGGCCCACTCGAGCTACCGCGTTACGGCCTACGCTCCGACCGCGACCCGAATTCGGAGGGCCTACAAGTTTAAGGTGGTTGCTGCGCAAAAGGGGTCGGACACAGGGCGCAGCTCATGCTAAGAGCGCTAGAAGAGGAGATAGAGAGAACAACCACCCTGTCCCGTTATTGCGTACACCAACACCAAAAAGCTCTCTCTCCTGCTCCTCACTCAGGGGGGTCGCAACTACCGAGTCCCAAGAGTCTAGCTCGAGGAGTCTAGCTGCCACGTTCAAAACCAGGACGGCGGCAGTGATGGTGCTATCACGGGCATGGTCAGGGGAAGTGGAGCGGGGGGGGCGAGCGTCAGCCAGCCAGGTATGGGATAGTAGAGCAGGCGCTTTGTGGGTGGCGGTGGGCGGCGGCGCTGGGTGGCCGGCCGAATCGTTAGCTGAGCTCCTCCCTCAAGCTCGATCACGCATGACGCACGTTGAGTGACAACGTCGGCGAGCTTCTGAATCAGGTTAGGTTGCCGGAGCACCTCCAACTCCTCCTCTGAGTCAGACACGCCAACGTCGACTGCGCCCTCCTCCTCCCATTCGTCGACTGCGCCACTGCGCCCTCCTCCTCCTCCTCCAATTCGCCGACTGCGCCCTCCTCCTCCATGGGCTCGATCCGATTCCGCAGCGTGTCGTCCCCAGCGGCGGTGCTGCGCGGGAGGCGGCCGCGGGCACGCTGGGCTCGATCAGCGGCTTCCCCTCAAGTTGCGCCGAAAGCACGGGGCGCGCGTGAGCCGGACTTGTGAGCCGGACGGCTTTCATTTCTCTCTGGACTCTGCGTTCTCGCACATGCGACATGGAGTGCGAGGTTCTCGACTTTCAATCCCAAACTGTCACTCCCCTTTCTACCGGCCGGGGTGGGGCGCGCGCGGGGGTGGCGGGTGTGCGGGATGTCTGTGTGTGTGGTCCCGAGAGCGACATGCCATGTGTCCGCCTTCCTGCTTTTGTTTCATAACAATCGAAGCCTAGCTCAGAGCGATATGCCATGTCTGCCTTGCGTTTGTTTTCTTAACATCGAAGGTTGTATCATCGAAGGTTGTATATGTATATAGAAAAAAATTCCGCGAAGGTGGGAGCTGTTTTGAGGTCTTCCATAATGTTGGCCCTCCTCATCGGCTCGCACGAGACCTACTCGCTGGCCGCGCCAGTCGCACACGCCACGCGTGCCGCGCCGCCGGCGATGGTGTTCCGGCAGGCGCTTTCGGAGAAGCAGACCGCGGCCAAGCAAGGCTGGTGCGTGTGGCGCTTGCGAGGGCCTCTCAGCCCCGAGGAAGGTTTGCACACTCGGAAAGCACTGTTTGTTAGGTACTACGGGAAGGTCGTGCCGACGGCGGGCTTCCAAGCAACCATGGGTGACAACGAGATCGGGCGCCGCGCCAAGCTGTCCTCGTCGGACGAGGCCGCCACCCGCGACAGTGCCTCAGTCGTTGCCGCCGCAGAGAAGAGCTGGTACTACGCCGAGCCCTTCAAGGCAAACAGTGCCTACACGCCAGCGTTTGGTGACAACGCGTAGAATTTGTTGGTGCTGGCAAGCGATTCTTGGCGCTAGGCCGTCGCTCTGCAAAGGCCAATGTTTGCCGGCCGCTGCCACGTTTCTTATGGGTTAGAGACCAGCCGTTGCTGCGAAGCCATGCCATGTACCCGCTGGGGCACAGCGAACCACCCGCTCACAACTCCACGCGCGCACCCAACCGGACGGTCGAAAGAGTCCGATGATTGTAACTCAGGGAAGCACACGTCGATGTGCGGTGTATAGTGTGACTCTCTGTGAGAGCACATCCTCTAGTCACTGGTGTGATGTGACACATGAATCATGATTGTGAGGTCCGGTCTACTTGGTGTGCTAAGAAAGGTAATATATCTTTACTTCCAACACCCGGACGTTCCCAGGGAGCAGGGTGATGGAAGATTCGACGCACCCCCGGACTCTCTCCTCTCTGGGCGGAGAGGTCCCAGGAAACAAAGCTCAAAGGCCTGGGGAGTGGGGACTCCGCCCCGCCCCCACTTGCCCTGACTGCACAGGATAGCGTGCCCCGACAAACGGCGACACATAGCAGGGGACACTACGGTCTACGCCGGGGGGTATGCCTAACTTTGGTGCTTTGTGTGGGTCGCGTTCCCTTTTGGGAGAGAATTTTTAGCAATACCATTGTTTTGTCCTTTTGGTAGCTGTGTGGCTGAAGCCCTCGTGCCGCTGGCTTAGAGATGATAGAGAGAGAGAGAGAGGGGGGGGGGGGGAGAGAGAGAGAGAGAGAGAGGGGGGGGGGGGAAAAAAAAAAAAAAAAAGGGGGGGAGAGAGAGAGAGGGAGAGAGAGAGAGGGAGAGAGGGGGGGGGGGGGAAAAAAAAAAAAAAAACCTACCACCCCCCGGGGGGATGGGAGGACGGCCCCCCCCCCCCCCACAGGGATTTTAAAAAAAGGGGGGGGGGGGGCTTTCCGGCGCCCCCCCTTGGGGGTCTGCCTCTTCCTATTTTTCTTCGCAGTCCCTCGCCGATTTTCGCTGCAACCTTTATGCCACCTCGGGGGCGTCCCACTCTCGTCGTTCTCTCTCGGGGCGCTTCTTCCTCTGGCGCTTCGCTCTCCTCTGCCTCGTTCTGCGAAAACCCCCCTGCCTGCCGATCCCTTGCCCTCGCCTCTCGGGGCAACTTTGCCCTCCTCGCAGCATATCCTGGCCCCTCGAGTTTATCGAGCTCTCCTGCTGGAGATAAAACACACTAAATACGTGCTAAATATGTACTAAATCAGCAGAGGAACCTAAATTTCTAACCGCGCCGAAAGAAAAACCGAAAGAAAAAGAATTCTCAGGATACAAGCCTCTCTCACAGCACACGAAAAAGAAACGCAGCGCATTTCTTTGCGATGACGCTGCTGACGTTGGCTCTGCTGCTCCCGCCGTTGGCCGCCGCGAGCTTGACCGGCGAGCGGCGGCGCGGCCCTAGCCTGCCCTCGCCACCTCGCCTAGCCGACGTGCCCAACTCGGTGAGGCACGTCCTCGCGAGCGCTGCGAGCGGCGCGGTCGGCGTCACCACGCTCGCGCCACTCGAGGTCATGCGCGTGAACATGATGGTCTCCGGGCGCGGCTGGTCCCTCCGGCGGGCCTTCGCCTCGCTCGAGGGCGGCTGGTACCGCGGCAACAGCGCCGATGTCCTCGCGGCGGCCATCCGCGTCGGCATCACCATGCCTGCCTTCGCGACGTACAAGCGGCTGCTGCAGCGGGCCTCTGAGGAGGGGTCCTCGTCTTCGCCGCCCCCGGAGTGGACGGTGCTGGCGGCCGGCGCGCTGGCTGGCTGCACGGCCAGCATCGCCTGCTACCCGCTGGAGGCTCGCACGCCCTCGCTCCCAACCCCACCGCTCCCAACGCTACCGCCCTCCCGCCCTTCCCTCCCGTTGCCTCTGCCGCGCCTCTCTGCCTCTCCCGCCCGCCTCTCCCGCCGCCCTCCCGCCGCCCGTGAGCGGTGCTGCTCGCGGGCGCAGGTTGCGCGCACGCGCATCGCCGTGGCGTGCGACGTGAGGCTCGGCGTGCTCGGCTGCCTCGCGAGCGTGGTGCGGGAGGAGGGGCCTCTCGCGCTCTACGCAGGCGCCCCCTCCCCGGCGCACCTCCCTCCCGCCGCACGCACGCACGCACGCGCACACACGCACACACACACACACACACACACACACACACACACACACACACACACACACGCCCCTCTTGCGTGCGGCAGCGCGCCTGCTCCTCCCGCCCCCCCAGGCCTACTCACCACTCTCGCCGGGGTCCTCCCCTTCAACGCGCTCAAGCTCGCCGCGTACGACCGCCTCCGCACCAAGGCGCCACGCACCCTCTCTCCCAGCGACAAGCGACCCTCACCTCTCCCCGCCCCTCGCTCTCTGCCCGCCCCTCGCTCTCTGCCCGCCCCTCGCCTGCCTCTCCCCAGAGCCAAGCGGCAGAGCGAACCCGACGCCCCTCCCCTCCCCTCCCCTCCCCTCCCCTCCCCTCCCCTGCCCTCTCCCCCAGGCGGCGACGCTGCAGGACCCAGCCAGAAACGGCCGCCCAGACCTCGACGCGACCTCGGTGCCCGTGCCGCTCGTCGCCGCCATCGGCGCCGCGTCGGGATGCTTCGCAGCGACGAGCTGCTTCCCGATCGAGGCGCCGGAGACGTAGCCGAGAGGTCGCCGAGATGTCGCCGAGCTGTTTGCTGATTGTCCGATCAGAGAGATGCCGCCGCCGCCCACCCGCCGCCGCCCACCCGCCGCCTCCCACACGCCGCTGCCCTCCATCCTTCGCAGGTGGTGCGCCGCCGTCAGATGGCGGGCGAGTTTGTCGGGCTTGGGCCGCTCTCCGCCGTCGTTGCCATCGCGAGGACGGAGGGGGCGCGCGCGCTCACCCAGGGCGTCGGCCTCAACTGCGTCAAGGTGGCCATGTCCAACAGCCTCGGCTTCGTCTTCTACGAGCTCGCGATGGACGTGCTCCGCGTGAACGGCAGACAGCCGCCGTGGGCGCGGAGCGACCGCTTCCCGCTCCCATCCTTGCTGGGACTGAAGCCGGCGGTGTCGGGCGAGTAACAGACACGTTGGCGAGGTTACGAAAACGATATCCATTCGATATACTCTATGTCGAGACCTAACGCGTCGACGGCGAGAACCGAGATACGCGGCGGGGGAGAGGCGGTTGGAGCTTGGACGAGCCGCACCTTTGGGTTTCTCGGGTTTGGCGCCACTTGCACTCCTCAAGAGCGGGAATTTAAGGAGAGGGGTGTGGTGCGCTAGCCGTCGCCCACCCTTGGGCGTCCGCCTCTGCGAACGCCGCAAGAGAAACTTGGAGCACTTGGAGTGCGGTCATTAACCTCACGCCCAGGACCGGGGAGCTGAGAAGCGCACCCAGTTGGCCGGACGCTCGGTGTCGGGTTACGGGCTAGAGAGCCCTAGCCCCGGGGGTGCGCGAGCCATAACGGAAAGTTTTTATCTTTTTCGGGTTTAGCCGCGAAATGCTCGCCTCCGCCCGCTACGAGCTGCGGCTCGCCGCTCTTCCGCCCGATGCCCTGATCGCGATCGCCGCCGGCGCGATGCGCGACAGCGCCGCTGCAAACACGAGGGCCGAGGCGCTCCTCGCGTACCACAGCCCTCCGCCCGCCGTTGCGACCGACGTCCTCGCGGACCCGGACCTTGCGCCGTGCGTGCTCGAGAAGACGGGCCTGCGCCACGCGGCCGTGTGCAAGCGGTGGTCCCTGATCTGCGCGCCGCGCGGTGCCTTCGCGCGGCTGGTGGAGACCGCTGGCGATGCCTCCTCGGAGCTGCACGCTGCTGCGCTCGGAGAGCTCAAGCGGCTGTCGGGAGAGGAGGCCAGCGGCAGGCGGATGGACGCGCTCGTCGCTCTCTTACGGGTTGGAGACGAGGACGAGAAGGCGGACGTCGCGGAAACGCTCCGGGAGCTTGCCATGGACGACGACAACAAGGCGGCGATTGCTGCGGCCGGCGGCATCGAGGTCCTCGTGTCGTTGGTTCGCGATGGGAATGAGAGGCAGAAGGAGAATGCGGTGGGGGCGCTGTGGAACCTCGCTGGCAACGAGGACAACAAGGTGGCGATAGCCGCGGCCGGCGGGGTCGAGGTCCTCGTCGCGCTGGCGCGTGACGGGAATGAGGCGCAGAAGGAGCGTGCGGCGGGGGCGCTGTGGAACCTCGCTGACAACGACGACAACAGAGTGGCGATCGCTGCAGCCGGCGGCGTGGAGGTCCTCGTGTCGCTGGCTCGCGACGGGACTGGGGGTCAGACGGAGTGTGCGGCGGCGGCGCTGTGGAACCTCGCTCACAACGACGACAACAGCGTGGCGATTACTGCAGCCGGCGGGATTGAGGTCCTCGTGTCGTTGGCTCGCGACGGGATAGAGGGGCAGAAGGAGTTTGCGGCGGCGGCGCTGTGCAACCTCACTGACATCGACGATAACGAGGCGGTGATCGCCGCGATCGCCGCGGCCGGCGGGATCGAGGTCCTCGTGTCGCTGGCTGGCGACGGGAATGAGGCGCATAAGGAAAATGTTGCGGGAACACTAGCAAACCTCGCTATCAACGACGAGAACAGCGTGGCGATCGCGGCGGCCGGCGGCGTGGAGGTGCTTATTGCGCTGGCTCGCGATGGGACTGAGAGGCAGAAGGAGAATGCCGCAGCGGGCCTCCGCAACATGATTGAGGCAGCACCTGGCACGCACGAGGGCGTCGTCGAGGCTGGCGGTGTGGCGGTCCTCTCCTCTCTCACGCAGGAGGCAAGTGCCTCGGACGACTGCAAGCTTGCTGCTGCCATGTCCCTTGTGTACCTGGCCAGCACCTGTCCCGACCTCGCGGCCGACGACACTTGCCTCTCGCTGCTGCTCTCGCGGCTCGACCAGCCCGAGGAAAATGGCTGGCGCAGAGACAGCATCAACGCCCTCCTCGCCCTCGCAACCTCCTCGTCTGCGTGCGCTGAGCAGTGGCACCGGGTCGGCGGCGTTGCGGCGCTGCAGGCGCTGGCGCGAGAGACGGCGGAGGAGGGGGTGGAGAGGCAGGCGGAGAGGTGCGACGAGGCGCTGGTCAGCCTCGGCGTCCGGAGGGTGCGCAGGCGGACGGCTGCGTAAAGAGCGAGCCTGGTCAGAGAGAGAGAGACTTCTTCTTCCTGGAAAAAAAAACTTGACCCCGGTTACAAGGAGCGCGTGCCAATGGCCGCCTCCGTGACACACCCACCACCTGGGCCGGCCTGGGAGTTTTTCGCAAGTTTCTCCCAGCCGGCCGCCTCCTGACACGCCCACGGACCGAGCCCATCAAAAAAATCCGGCGCGCCGCACTGCTTTGACCCCTGCTCGCCCCTGCTCGCCCCTGCTCGCCACTGTCGCCTCGGTTGCCGAGGCTGCCGCGCACCCGCACGCCCGCGTCGCTGCGCGACTACGAACTGCACCAGCTGGGCTCGAACCAACGACCAAAACGTCCCCGACCCGAACGCTGCACCAACTAGGCCACGCCCCAGGCTCGATTTGCCAATGCGTACAAACTGGCCCCTCATAAACCAATATTTATCACTTATTTGACGAGGTTACGCGGTGCCCCCCCACGGCCAGCCTACCCTCCTATCGCGCCACTCGACGCCCCGCGGCCGCCTCTCGCCTACCGCGCTGCCCTCGCCGGCCGCCGCACCGCCCGCGCTCCAGCCCAACCAGCTTTGTGCTCCAACAGCTCCAGCCTAACCAGCCCTGTGCCCCAGCCTAACCAGCAGCCTATCCAGCTCTGTGCTCCAGCCCAACCAGCTCTGTGCCCCAGCCTAACAGCTCGCCAGCCTAACCAGACAGTGCTCCAGCTCTGTGCTCCAGCTAACCGCTCTGCATCTCGCAACACACTCATGACAGGGACAGACCAGGCGCAGGAAAAGGGAGCGGGGCCCGAATCCAAGGGACCACCCCGTCGGGCGGAAGAGCTGAGAACTCAGGTCCAGTAGGAAGGCTGCTGGCTCCTGACTCATCCCCCAAATCCCCCACCCCTGTGGCCTGAAACCTTACCATTCCACCACCTCACACACACCCCTCCCCTAGGGCTAAGCAGTGCGCGAGCCCACCCGACTTCAGGCGAGACGTCGACCACTCCTCGGGAATACTTCTGTCAGTGGCTGCACTAGACGCCCATAGAGGCGCGCGGCGCGGGCGGATGACTAGGGGAGAAAACGCGGAGATCCTAGCTCGCTGGGAGACGTGCGCAACCTAAAGTTGGGAATAGGGGAGAAGTGTCAGTGTGAGGGGAGGGCGTACGCCGGCGTTTTTGCCTTTGAAAACTGAACAGTTTTTTTTTCTTCTTCCTGGTCATGGGCGGCCGTCTCTGTGCTAGTGTGTGCGGCGCCAAACCTTCCTGGGAGACTCCCTCGTGAATTATTTTGTCCATGGCCGTTGGGAGTTGGCGGGCGCCGACCACCTACTCGTTCAACAGCAAAAAAGAATTTTACACCATAAAGTAGGTCCCGAGATCGATGTATCCCCTCACGCACATCTTTCTCTCTATCATGCACTCTTCTGCGTGCAGGCGCGCGGTGAGTGTCTGCGCTGGCGCGTTCTTCCCGGCTGTGAAGCCGCATTGCGAGCCGGGGACTACTCTCGCGCACGCTCTATCGTATTCGGGTAGGAGCATACGCATGAGACCTTTTAACGACTGTGGCTGGACCCAGAGGTCGCGCCTTCGTTCGAGCTCCTTCGGGTCCTCCCCCGGCTTCATCGCTAGCATCGCAATCCAGTCATTCCATTCCCGCGGATACGCTTCTGTCTCGACAATCTCTACCAGCAGGCGCCAGTAGTCTCTTTGAATGTCCTCCGTTGCTATGCGCAGTAGGTATCCGTCGAGTAGGTCCGAGCCGACCGCCTTGCCCTTTTTGAATCGTCTTATGGCCTTCTCGCACGCCGCCCACGTGAGTACCTCCTCCTTCAGTCGTTCCGTCCCCTCGCTCGATGTGGGTTGTCCCCCCGTCTCGGGTTGGGTCAGCTCTAGCAGCTTTTCTACCGCCTTCATGTCAACCTCTCGCCTCTTATTAATCTCCCTTCCCCTTTCCGCTGCCGCCTTTCGGATTGCCCCCCCTCGGACAACCTTTCGCTTCTTCACCTTCTGCTTGGTTCTCGGGCATGTCACCTCTTCTTCTCCCTCGACGTACATTGCTCTAAGCTCCCCCCCCCTCGCCTTCCTTCCTGACTCGGTGTGTACGATGTCGAATACCGCGATGTGTACGTTGCCGTGCAGTTCGACGACCACTTCTTCCATCTTCTCCGTCAATTTCTGCCCTCTCTCCACCTCACAGTCGAGGAACTCGGAGGTCGCCTTCCCGATCTGTGTCTCACACTCCTCTAGTAACGCTTTCCGTCTGTCGCTGTTGGAGAGGTCCGGCGTGTCAATCTTCTGTAAGAGGCTGCTGAGGCATTCCTGTGTCCAGAATCCCTTCCCCCCCCACTTCCTTGTGTATGCCGTTTTCAGCGTTCCGCTCCATTTTCGGACCGCGTGCGTGATCCGTCTCCACTTTGCTATCTTCCATCGCAGTCTCTCCCTCTGCGACATGGGGGGTCGTCCCCGTCGTTGGGTTTCCCGCTGCCCGTCCCCCCCTTGGTCCTCCCCCTCCTCGTCCGCCTCGCCGGTCTGTCCGCCCTTATCCCCTTCCTTCTCTAGACGCAACTTGTCCTGCGCCTCTTTTATCACGGCCTTGGCGTGGTCCGTGAGCGCCTGTGTCATCGCCTTCAGCCTCTCTGCCGGTGTCTCGCCTTGGCGCGGTTGCATCGCGCCGTCGTAGGCTTCCTGCACGGTCTTCGTGAACGCCTCCTCGGCGTCTCGGTCCAACTTCCGGCTGACTCCTTTTGGTCGGTATTCCCGCTCTCCTTCTGGGTCGTCCGCCCCATAGTACTCGACTGCCACGATTTCATGGTCTTTCCCGCATACTCCTGGCATGATGTGTACGCGCCCCATCACATTTGCTAGCGCCGGGGTGACTATCCAGTTGTCAATTTGCGTGCCCGCCCGGTACGTTGCGTCGTTCGCCATCGCTCTCAGGTCTCGCCCCACTTCGGTCAGCATGCTGTTGAACATCTTGTCTGAGAGAGTCCGTTCCTTTTTACCTCTGCTTCGTAGGAAGGCCTCCGTCTCGGCGTTGAAGTCTCCGCCGATCATGTACTCCCCGTCGATTTTGTCTAGCTCGTCCCTTAGGCTCTCCCACGCGTCTTGCGCTGGGTCCTTTGTTTCTGTGTCGTCCGTTCCTCCGCTCGCCGCGACCGTTATCTTAGCCCGTCCCCTCACTGGCATGTAGACTCCTATCTGTGTCCACTCCAGTCCGCTTGCCGCGTCCTCCATCTCCACTTTCACGACGCGACCTCTCACCACCTCTTCCATGGCCACCTCACCCTTCCCGTCTCTCTTTGCTTGCAGGTGGTCTGGGTCCCACACAATCAGCACCCCCGCTTTGAGCGCGCGCGAGGCCGGGTCATTGTAGGCTGGGGTCCCGCACGCCTCTATCCCCATCGTCTCTAGGTATTCTATCACCTCGCGCATTTCTTTCTCGCCTAGGTGCGTGTCTGCCAGCGTGGCAAGCCACACCCCTCCTTCCTTTATGTACCTGATGATTTCCGCCAGCTTCTTTGTTGCCTCCCGTCCCGTGTTGCGGATTGGTGCGCTCCCCCTCTCCCTTAGTTCCCGTATCTCCTCCATCGCCCCCTCTATGCTCTCGAGGCCCCCGCCGCAGACGTTGAGGGTGGCGAAATGGGCTTGTTCGTGCGCCTTCTTCCCGGTTGCCCTCTTCTGTTTGCCCTTGCTCACTCCGTTTCCGTGCAGTGCCTTCATGAGCGCGTTCCACTCGGTGATGGGTATGTGCCACGTGTAGGCCGCGGGTATCCCCAGGTGCGCTAGGTCCTCATCAATGAGGGGCCCCATTCCCAGGCGTTGCGCTCGCTTGTCCGCCCTCTCGAGCGGGCTCAAGGTGGGTTCGACTGCGGGTACCCCGTAGAAGGCTAGGTCGGGGTCTAGTTTCCCTCGCTCCTTCCGCCGCGCATTCCGTCGGTGTCGCTTCCACGCCCACACCCTTCTCTTTTTTGCGCGGATCGGGAGGGCGGCAACCTCTGCCCCCGTCCACGCTTCGCGCCCCCTCGGCGCTGAGCGCCGCCTCCCGCGTTTTCTTTTTCGGGCGCGCTGCCTGGCTTTTTCGCTCCTTCTCTCTCCGCGGGGGGGGTCCTCCGGTTTTGCGCGACCGGGGCTGTTAGGCGCCTCTGCCTCTGCGGCTGGTGCTGCTCCTGTCACTATGTCACCGTGTCGTGGGGCCGACGTGCGCGGTGGCCTTCCTCGGCCCTTCCTCACGTGACGCACGGCGAGGGCGGCACTCGCCACGGCTGCGAGCGCCCACCCTATCCACCACCTCACTCCGCACAGAGGCGCCAGTAATGGCAGCAAACAATTAAATAAAAGCCACTGTATATGAGCTGCTGCCTCACTGCTGCGAGTTGACATTTCCGGCGATGCGCGCGTGCGCGTGTTTCGTTCGTGCGTCGGCTGGCTCCGAGTTCGAGACCCCGGGGGGGAGGGGGGGGCCTCCTCGGCCTCCTCGGCCTCCTCGGCCTCCTCGGCCTCCTCGGCAGCCTCGGCTGCTTGGCGCACGCGGCGCTGCTCTTTTGTTCTCCTCCGTCGTCGGCCCTGCCGTTCCGTCTCCTCGCTCTGGCTCGGGCCGTGGGCGTGCTGCTGCTGCTGCTTGGCACTGTTGTCGCCATTTTCGATGTGCGCACATTGTATGGCTGCTCGGTTCGTTGCTCCCGAGGACCAGAGACCGGTGGTGAACCACCGGTTCGGTACGACCCGCAGCCTACTCCTACTACCGCGCGCGCGCGCGCGCAGGCCGCCGTGGGCACGGGTGGGGCGAGCGCGCGCACCATGATCTCGAGACGTGCCCGCCGTTCTTTCGATTTGGATTTTGGATTTTCCACTACGCTTCGTTTATTTATTTTTCGCGAAAAAGATTTCTCCGAGCACGCGGCCTCCTCCTTCCGGCCACAGGCTCCAGCCTGCCGACTCGTGCCCTAGCCGCGCCGCCGCTCTTCCGGCCAGCACCAGCAGCGATCCGTGCATCGGCCTCATCCGCCGCGAACGGTGAGCTGATCAGCGCCCATGCTGCCGCACGGATGTACCGGCTGCTCGGCGGCGCCACGTCAGCTGCTTGGGTTTGCTGCTCCGTGGCGGCGCTCGCCACCTACAAGCCACACCGCGTCCTGCACAACGCCATAGGAGTGGCTCAGGCGTGCACGGCGCTGCCGCTGGTGTGGACGACAACGGAGAGCCTGGCGCGCACGGTCGCGGACAACGGCTGGGAGGCACTTGGTGACGCGCAGCCTCGGAGCCTCAATCTCGGCCTCGCCGCAGCGAGCGCGTGGTGCGCCGTCACCGCCGCCGCGGCGCCCGCCTTCACCGCTGCAGTGGTGCGGACCAGCGACCCGGTGCGGTACCCGATGCCGCTCGTGGTCGCGGCTTGCGCCGTCCACGCCGCCACTGCGCTCTGGTCGCTCCTTGCGAGGCGGCGCCCCCGACCCGCGCCCTCCCACCCCGACGAGCCTACCGCTGCCACTCGCGCGGAGGGCCTCTCCCTCCGCCTCCTCGCGCTCACCTTTAGCGGCTTCAGCGCGTGCGCTATCTTTGCGCCCTTCCCGCTAGCCACGGTGCCCTCGCTGCTGGGCAAGCGGCTTGCGAGGGCGTTTGCCGCTTGGCTCGGGCTCGCAGCTGTGTCGCTGCACGCACTCTCGCGGGCAGGCGTCGCCGGCGGAGGCGGAGGTGCGGGCCCTCTGGCGGATGGGCTCGCCCTCCACGCCGCCTCCCACCTCGCCGTCGCCGTCGCGAGGGCCGCGCTCGAGTCGCCCGCGTTGTACCCCGCCGCGATGGCGTGCAGGCCGGCTGTCGCCGCGTCGCTCCTCGCCTACGCCCTCGCGTGGCGTGCCTCGAGCAGAGCGCGTGCGCCATGTGCTCCGGCCGCTGGTGGTGCCATTCGCTCTCCACCACCTTGAGGCTTGACGGTTACGGGTCGGAGTTGGACCGGAGTGGCGTCGCATTCTCGCACACAATCTCCCATTATTCTGCATGAAAAGAGTCACTGCATCGCATCCGCGATCCGGTGCGCAGCATGTGCATCGTCGTACGTCGAGACTCGTCAGACTGCAGACTCGACTCTCGAGAGTTTTGACAGTTGTCCGGAGAGTGTTTGACTACTGTGTATACACATGCACATGCACATGCGTGATGCGATGTACACATATGCGCGTGCCCCTACGGATAGATAGACCATTATTTGATGATGAAGTTTGGGTTCACTGCACGATAGTTAGTTTCTGACACACCACCGCAGGCGTGCAGCGCTCTCGCGGGCTCCGGCGTCACACGGCCTGTCCGAATCCCGAGCGGCCGCGCCGCCGCCGTGCATGGGAGCATGGCCGCACAAGGACCCGCCTCCGCCCACTGCTGGCCTCCCTCCGCCCAGCCCGAGGCGTAGGCTCCCATGCTCAGCCCTCCTCCTCCGCGCACCTGCCCTTTCCGCGCCATCGCTGCCCTAGGGCCTTGGCTGGTCCGCGTGCGAGAGCATGATGGACTCGAAGGCGGAGTAGGCGCGCTCGAGGTCGTCGTTGACCACGACGTCGTCGAAGAAGCCTGGCCGCTCGGTGTACGAGATCTCGTGCTTTGCGCGGCTCATCCGCAGCCGCACCTGCGGCCGGGCGAGACGGGGAGTCCGAGGGTGGAGTCAGAGGCGAGGGGCAGGGAGGGGCTGGCAGGGTTGGGGTCAGGGTTGGGGCCAGCGCCTTGTCCTCCGTCTCTGTTCCGCGGTCGCGTAGCCTCCTCTCGAGGTCGGCGAGGTTGGGAGGGGCGATGAAGAGGAAGCGCGCCTGGGGGGGGGGGGGCAGCTGAGGTGCAGCCAGCCGAGGGGCAGCCGAGGGGCAGCCGAGACTGGGCGAAGGAAGGGAGGAGGTGGTGGAGGAGGAGGTGGTGGAGGGGGAGGCGTTGGAGAGGAGGAGGTCACCTCCATCGGACCTCTACGGTAAGCCTTTGAGGTCTCGCCGAAGTGTCTCCGAAGCGTCTCCGAAGCGTCTCTGAAGTGTCTCTGAAGTGTCTCTGAAGTGTGTCGCGCCTCCATCGAGCTCCTCTTGACAGACTCGGCGCCTACGTGCCACGCACACACACGCGGCGTGAGTCGGCACAGGCCTTGCCGTGCCGCACGCACGCCGCGGTGTCGGAGTGTCGCGGAATTCCGTAGAAGAGGCTGGAAGTGTCTCAAAAGCGTCTTGGCCGCACCCTGCACGTCGATGTCCAGGAGGCACGTCTTTCCGCGCGAGGCGACCGTCCGCACCTACCATTCACACCTCATCCCTCGCTACATAGGACGCACGTCTTCTCCGCGCGGGGCGACCGGCTGCACCGCAGCGAACGACGTGCCGTAGAGGTTCGAGTGGACGCGTGCGTACTCGAGAAACTCGCCGCGCTCGATGGCGGCCTCCATGTGCGCCTGCACTCGTGAGGTCCGCGTCAGGCGGGCGAGCTCTCTCCGCGCCCCGACCGCCCCCTCCCCTCAGCGGCCGCGCCTTGTTGCAAAAGTGGTAGTGCACGCCGTCCGTCTCGCCGGGCCGCGGCGACCGCGTGGTGTGCGAGACGCAGAAGCCGAAACGGCTCGGGTGCGCCGCGGTCAGCCGCGTGAGGAGAGTGCCCTTGCCCACGCCCGACGGACCGCACACCACCACCGGCATCGGCCCTGGCGCGCCTACGCGGCGACACACGAGGCGGGTGAGCGCGGGCGAGCTGCCGCAGCCCTGCGGCGCCAGAGAGGGCCGCCGCTGCCGCCGCCGCCGCTGCCACTACTGCTGCCAGCCCCGGGCGACGGCGAGCTCGCAGCGCCGCTCGCGCCTCCGGCACCTGCACTGCCAGCGCTGCCGCAGCACGCGGGCGGTCTGCCGGCCGCAGCGGGGCAGACAAGGCCGAGGCCGAGGGCGCTGCCCAGACCCAGCACGCCCCGCGTTAGCGTCTTCACCTGTCGTGGTCAACAATGTTGGGTTTTGGGCGGGGCCGCGGCAAGGGACACAGTAGGCGCACAGAAGTCGCACACTACCATGAAGGGTCGATGCGTGCTGCAAAGCTGGAAAAAAAAACCCGGGGCTCAAAAAAAATAACTGTCCCAACCCTCCTTGGGGTTGTCTGTTTTCTGTCTTTCTTTCTTTGGCGCACCCACTAGGCACGGGACTGGCGCGCACTGGCACTAACACAGGTACACAGTACACCACGGGAGCCGACTAAGCGACTCCTGCGAGGACGGCGAGGCACTTAGCTGAAAAAAAGATCTAAATAACCAGCGCCGCTCAAAAAAAAATAACTGTCCCATCCCTCCTTTGGGTTGTCTGTTTTCTTTCTTTCTTTCTTTGGCGCACCCACTAGGCACGGGACTGGCGCGCACTGGCACTAACACAGGTACACAGTACACCACGGGAGCCGACTAAGCGACTCCTGCGAGGACGGCGAGGCACTTAGCTGAAAAAAAGATCTACTCCCGCCCCCTCTCTGCTCTCACACAGCACGGAAGTCTGGCACTGAGATGCCTGCTCTATTTATATATTTCGAACTGGCACTACCATAGCGAAAGAAATCAAGAATTGGCTAAAAATTCAGGCCTTCGCGCTCATCGTCGACGTCGTTCAATAATTCAACGGCGACATCTCGCACCGCGCCAGTGTTGTCCCATATGTGCGCTAAACCCTAAACCACCTCGCACTCCTCCGCAGAAGTTCCTCGCGTCGCATCGCTCACTCGTGGCGAGGCCGCGACTGGCCCGCTGCTCGCGCCGCTGCACGCGCTGCCCGCTGCGCTCGAGTGCCGCCGGGAGCGCCGACCGGAGCGGCTCCCGGCGGCGCCGCTGCGCGCGCGGAACAGCCGCGAGAGCCCCTGCCACCCGCGGCTCGTCTCTACGCCGCCCCACGCGCCGACGGTCTCTCGCGCGTCAAAGTGGCGGCTCACGATGGTTGCGCGCTCCGAGAAGAGGCTCTTGGCCCACTCGCTGAAGGAGGCGAGCGAGCCAAACGACGTCTCGATCACGGCGAGCAGCGCCTCGCGGTCCTCGGAGCGCGAGCAGAGCGCCTGCCTCGCGTCGAAGGAGGCGAAGGAGGCGACGACGCCCTCGAGTGCTGCGCGCTGCTCCTGCGCCGTGTCGCCGGGCAGCAGGGGCACCACGCAGATCCGGTCCTCGGCGCCCTTCATGCGGAGGAAGGTGAAGAGCTCGATGACGCACCTAAGGCGCGACGACCAGCAGTCATCGGGACGCGGGCCGGGGTCGGGGTGTCGAGCTCTTGCCGAGCACGCACCAGAGCCGCGACGACCAGCTCGGCCCGGCGAGGATGACGAGCGTGTGGCAGCCCGCGAGGAAGATCGGGAGGCACGGGAGCGACGCCTCGATGTTGGCCTGTTCACAGCGAGGCGGTGTGAAGAGGCGCCGTTCGCGGCGTGCAGGACTCGCCAGATTCGGCGGTGGCGGCGCCTGGTCTATGCACACCCGGTCGACCCAGACCTTGGGCCAGCGGCCTTCCTCGGCCTCGAACCGCTCGGCCCATGCGCGCAGCGCCGCCCACTTGGCGCCGGCCGGGTCGCTCCACGCGTGGCTCACAAAGGCGTCGCACTCGCCGAGCTCGCACGGCTCGCCGAGCGGCGCCGCGCCCGCCGCGGGCCCGGGCGCCAGCCCTCTCGGGGAGAGGTCCGACTCTCGCAGCTTGTCGAAGCGGACCGCGCGAAAGCTGGCCTCGGCGAGCGGCAGCAGCTCGGAGCGGGTGAGGCGGCCGAGCGAGCACAGCGAGGCGACCACCGCCGCCTCCCGCTCCTCGGGCGTGGAGCCGATCCGGCTCAGGGCGGCGAGCGCCACTCCTCGCAGCCGCGGGTGCAGGAGCACCGCGCACACGATCTCGACCACGCCGATGGCGAGGGAGGGGACAAAGTCCTTGGACGAGGCAAACGCGGGCTCGAGGTACAGCGCGCGCAGCGGAAAGTAGAGCAGCGAGGCCAGCCCGCCCAGGGCCATGGAGCCGCGCACGACGCCCGTGAGGCGGAGCAGCCGGCGGCGGGGGGGCGGGCTGGAGACGGTGGCGTGGACCTCGAAGAGGACGCGGCCGCTGCAGATGAGCGCCTGCGCCCCAAAGTACCACTCCGTCTCGGCGGGGTCGTCTTCGGGGTGCCCGAGCGCGAGCGCGACAAAGCAGCCCGTCAGCAGGAGCGCGATGACGAGCCAGCAGCCGCTCACGACGCGGATGCACACGGTGTCGGTCGGGCGGAGCGACATCAGCGTGAAGACAAAGGCGACGGGGAAGGCGCAGAAGGCGGTGACCCAGCTGTGCAGCGACTCTGGCCACAGGTCCGCCGCGACCAGCCCGGCGGGGATAAGGCCCCAGACGAGCACCGCCAGGGCCGTCGTCAGCATGAGGCCCTGCACGCGCACGCGAAGCCGGCGGCGCGCGTGGAAGGCACGCTGCAGGCGGGCCTGCACATCGGCGCTGCGGCGATCATCGCGCCGCTTCCCCGCCTGCAGCTGCTCGGCCCGCCGCGCTCTCGGGCGGCCTTTGCCAGCCGCGCTCTCGGAGGCGAGCGCCCAGAGCGAGTACGCCACAAAGAGGCCGACCGTGAAGCCGACGCACACGACGACGTACACCGCCGCGACGGTGGGGCCTTGCATAGGTCAGGCCGGCCTTCGACGGCTGTCGGCCTTGCGCTCCAGCTGGGCGTCGAAAGAAGAGCGCGTAGCACACACGAGAGAAATCACCGTCAGAGTCGTGATTTCTTGTTGGTTAATAAAAATCTCTCTCTCACAGGAGCTATGCGGGGTCCCTCAGAGAATTCTCCAGGAGAAGAACGGATTTGAGGGTTTAACATCTAAAAGAAACTCGCGGTGAACGAACTTTTCAGTGTATGTAGCTCTTCCCGTATGTACTTTTAGCTTACTGGGAGAAAAGAGAGAGGGGGTTGTGTTCTCTAGGCCCCTAATGAAAATAGTGCTCAAAACCGACCAAGTTAAGCAAAAATTGGTCCAACGAAAACGGCACTAGTTAAGGGCAAAAACCGATTTGCTGTGGGGGGCGTAAGGGCCCTACGCGCGGCGTGAGAGCTCGGAAGCGAGCTCTCTCTCTTCCCGTACAGTTGTAGGAGACTCTGCTGACAGGGTTTGCGACTTTTCGGGCCGTTTACGAGAAGACTCCGAGCAAGACTGTGGAGGGGGGAGTCACCCGGCCAATAGCGAATGGAGACGCTCGCCAACGCAGCCTACCTGTCGAGCCCTGACCAGCAGCAGGGGCTCGGCGGCGCCCCCAGCGACCTGCAGATCGGCATCGCCGGCGGCGCGGCCGCGCACCTCGGCGCGCTCGGCGGCGGCAGCCTGGGCGGCGCGCTGGCGCCGTGCATTTCGCCGACAGTCATGGCGGCGATGGCGCCGGCGATGAACTCGATTGGGGGCTCGCGCAGCCTGCTCCCCTCCGCGCAGCAGCTGCATGGGCCGGGCCGGCACCTCCAGATTCTCGACCACACGGTCCACAGGATTGACGTGCACGCAAAGCCAAACGGCGAGGACGACAAGGAGATGGTGGTGTCGAACCTGCGCCACTTCACGCTCAAGATTGGCGTCATCGACCCGCGCTGTGGCATCGGCCGCGACGCGGAGCTGCCCCTCAAGGTGCTGCTCCCCTGTCTGCACACACCGCCCGTAGCGCGCCGGCGCGGCTGGGGAGGCTAGAGTGGGGGAGGGTGGAGGGGTGAGGAGCTGCTCCTGCCTCCGTGCCGTGCACTCGGAGAGCCTTGCCCCCCCCCCCCCTCCCAAAGCCTTTCCCCCCTTCCCCCTCCCCCCTCCCCCCCCCCCCCCTCCCCTACCGGCCCCAGCCCCCTTGCCTTCCCTCCCCCCCGCCAGGCGGAGCTGCTCTATGAGAACGGGCAGCTGGTCGAGCAGCTCGCGACCTGCGAGCCGCTCCTCGTCGGCAAGACGGAGGTCGTGGCGATGCAGGGCACCGCCATGTTCAAGCTCCGCATCACCTCCCTCTCCAGCCACAGAGACAAGCAGCGCTTCCGCATCCGCGTCTCGCCCACAGACACGGGTGACCTGCCCCGCCACGCCGCCCTCTGCGCGCATGCGCCGCCCCCCTAGCCCCGCCCACCACGCGTGCGGCCGCGCGTCTCACTCAGGCCACACTCAGTGTTTTGCAGCCCTCGCATGGTAGAGGCCACACGCTCGCTTGGCGCACAGGCCCCTTGCTCACACCCAACCCTCCCCCCCTCCCCCTCCCCCTCCCCCTCCCCCGCAGGCCTGCTGCTGCGCGAGCCTGGCCTGTCTGTGGTGACGACGCCGATGAAGTGCGTCACGAAGCTCACGCACCGCTCGTCAACCTCAAAGGCGAGGGACGGCCGAGACACAGCCGAGAGACAGCCGAGAGACGGCCGAGAGGTAGCCGAGAGACGGCCGAGAGACAGCCGAGAGACGGCTGAGGAGAGGTAGCCGAGAGATGGATGAGGAGAGGTAGCCGAGAGACGGAGGAGCCGCTCGCCATGCTGCCCGCCTGCACACGCGCACTCGCCACCTCCGCTGTCTCTTTCTCCCTCGCCCGGCCGCCTCACCCCCCTCCCTCTCAACAGGCTGAGGCGGCGGACGGCGAGAACGCCGGCGGCGAGAATGGCGAGGACGCGGCGGACGGCGAGGGCGAGGGCGGCAAGAAGCGGCGGAGGGACGAGCTCGAGAGCGCCCTCGACGCGCAGGGCGCGCAGATCGAGGCGCTGCAGGGGGCTGCCAGCTCCATCCTGCTCCAGCTCGAGACGCTGCGCGAGCTGCTGCAAAGGGCGGTCGGCGACGCCGTCGCGCCCCCCACGCCCGCCAAGCCCGCCAAGCCCGTACCTGTGGTCGTGAGGCCCGCCGCCGTCGCCGCCGTCGCCGCGGCCAACATTGCCAACGCTACCGTCGCGTCGGCCATCGCCGCCGCCACAAACTGAGGGCGCGAGCGAGGGGCCGTACGCTCGCCAGAGGCAGAGCGCGTTTTACGAGGGACATCCTCCCGTCTCGCCTGACTTCTGCCGGATATTATCGCGGTGCGTGCGAGGACCCAGGGTCTCGCTCTTGTGTTGCCGCGCGGCGCGTGTGCGCCCCTGTGGCGGTGGCGATGTTCATCACGTCGGTCGTCTCGCCCTCTCCCGACTCCAGGTCTCCACCCCACCTCCCACCTACGCTGCTGCGCTGCATCGGTGCATCGTGCGGGTGTTGTGACTGCGATCTGGCATCTGTCTGCACGTCTCGTCTCCGCGACTCTGATATCTCATATCTGTTTTGTTCTTGTCCCCGTCTCTCTTCTCTGCCGTCAGCGACTTGCAGCGTCACCGTCTCGCGTCTCGCGGGAGATGTGACGGTCCGAGAGGACGAATAACTCACAATATCGCAAAACAAGTATAAAGTACATGGGAGATGTGCGTGACATGTGCGGGTATACGCGAGTCGCGAGACGCCGGCAGCGGAGCCCATCACATCACACCACGTCGAGACGCCGACCATCACAGGACACACGCGAGGCCTCGACGAAGTCAGAGCGAATTACACGGCACGCGATTACGCGCGCGCGCTGACCATGGCGAGTGAGCATCAAAGGTACTCGAGTGGTCGCGGCTCTGAGCCGCGACCGCCGCCCGTCCGGCGGCCTGGGGGAGGGAGCCTCGCCGCGCTCAGGCGACGAGCGGCGCACGGAGCGGGATGGGCTCGGGGCCGTCGCGCTCCGCACCCATCGGCGGCAGCGGCGCCTCGGCCGACGCGCGCTTGAGGCCGAGCGCCGCTCGCCGTTCCCGCCGCTCTTGCCGCGCCTTTTCGACGGCAGCCTCTTCCGCCGCCGCGCCGCCGGAGGAGCTCCTGCGGTTGAAGTTGCAAATGCCCGAGTTCTTGCGCGCCCTCGGGTTGAAGAGCTTGCGTTTCGAAGCCGCCGGCGCGAGCGGCGAAACCGCCACCGCCGACACGTTGCCGCCAAGGTCGTCGGGCCGCGGCGAGAGGGCGGTCGGTTGCGTCCTCGCGGCCGGCGGCGGCGGCGGGCGAGCGAGCGAGAGCTGCCTGTCCTCGAAGGGCACCTAGGGGAGGAGGCACAAGGCGGGTGCGAGTGCGTGGTCGGCGGAGGCCTCCTCTCGAGCGGGTGGGGGGGGCTGCACCACGAGCAGGCCCTTGTTGAAGCCGCCAACCTTGAGCGGACGCGGCTTCGACGCCCCGGCGGGTGCGGTGGCGGCGGGCGCGGTGGCGGCGGGCGCGGCGGCGGCGGGCGCGGCTGCAGCGGGCGCAGCGCGCTTGGAAGTTGCGGCGGGCTTGGGGGCTGCGGCGCGCTTGGAGGCTGCGGCGGGCTTGGGGGCTGCGGCGCGCTTGGAGGCTGCGGCGCGCTTGGGGGCTTGCTGAGCACTGGAGAGTGCGCCGTCGGGCGGCGCGGCTGCCCGCAGCGACGCCTGCTTCACCTCCTCGACGGCCTCCGCGATGAGCGCGGCGATGGCAGGGTCCTCCTCTTTCTCCTCCACCTCCTCCTCCTCCGCCTCCGCATCGGATGTACCGCCCGCCGCAAGCTCCTCGTTGGTCTCCACTGGCGCCGGCGAGGGTGCGGCCGCGCCGCGGCTGTTCCTCGCGCTCTTCTTCGCCTGCTCACACCAAGCGGAGATCACCAAGCGGAGCTCACCAAGCGGAGCTCACCTCTCTCCACCGCCCGGCGCGCGCACCGACGGGTGGAAACGCTCGACCTCGGCCTCCACCTCCGCCTGCGACACGCGCGGCTGCGGCGACGCCGGAGGCGCGGGCTCCGCCCTGACGGGCCCCTTCTTGAGCGGGCGGGACTCCTCGGCGGCGACCGCAGACATCCTCTCCGCACCCGCCGCCGCCGAGGAGCGCCGCGGCGGGCGAGGCGCGCTGCTGCCCTCGCTACAGGCGCCGCGGGGACGCTTGCTCGGCTTGCGCCTCGAGTCGGCCGGCAAGGTGTCTGAGTCGACCGGCGCGGCGTCGCCGGCGGCGGCCGGGGCAGCTGCTGGTGCGGCGGTGGGTGCGGCAGAGGAGGAGGGGGGGGGAACGTCACAGGGCCCCTCCCCGGCCCCGCCTTGACCCGCGGCGACCTCTACGATCGGGACGAGCGGCGGCGCGGCCGGCGAGGCGCAGGCGCGGGACGCGGCGGCTGGCGGGTTTTCGCCGCCTCTGCTCAGCTTGCGCGAAGTGCGGCGACCGCCCTGCGTCGTGCGCCGCTTCCGCGACCCCTTCGTCTCCTGCTCGGCGCCGAGCTGCTGCGCGCCGCCGGAGTGCTCCGCGAGCAGCGCCTCTGCGCCCGCCGGCAGCGCCGCCTTGTACCGCCCCACGGCCTCCGACAGCTTCGTGCGCAGCCACTTGAGCGAGGCGGTCGCGGACGTCGCGTCCCTGCCCTCGTCCAAAATCTCGAGCAGCTCCCCCATCTCCTCAACCTCCTCGCGACCCGCCGCCGCGGCCGCCGCGAGCGTCGCGGCAGATTCGCGCGCGGCGGCCGCCGCCTCGTCCGCTGCCCGCGAGGCGCTCTCGCCCGCCGCCGCCACCGCCGCCGCCACCGCCGCCGCCGCCGCCGCAGCCGCCTCTGCTTGCGACTGGTCTGCCGCCTCGCGCGCGGCTGCCTCCGCCGCGTCGGCGCGCGCCTCGCACACCTCCAGCCGCTGCTCGGCCAGTAGCTGCCGCTGCTCGGCCAGCAGCTGCCGCAGCGCCGCCTCGCGTGCGGCATGGTCGGAGAGCGCCGCCTCGGCGCGGGCGCGCGCCGCTGCGTGCGCCGCCTCCGCCAGCCGCGCCGCCGCCTCGCCGCTGCGCCGCCTCGCCTCGTCGCGCAGGGACGCCTGTGGGGGACATGTCGTGGACGGGTGGCGGACATGGACATGTCGAGCTGACGTCCGCCTCACCGCGCAGCGACGCCTCGCGCGCAGCGGCCGCCTGCGCCGCGGAGAGCGCGGCTTGCTCCGCCGCCTTGGCCGCCGCCGCGTGCCTCTCCTCGCGCCGCGCCGCGTCCGCCTCGAGCGCCTCGATCTCCGCCTCGCGGCGCGCGACCCGCACGTGCAGCTCCGCGATCCTCGCCGCCGCCGCCGCGTCGCCGCCGCCGCCGTCGCTCGGCTCCTCGGCGCCGTCGCCGCGGCCGACGATGATGTCGCGCGCGCGCGCGGCGAAGCGGAGGGTCGTCAGCGAGGCGCGGTAGTGGTCGGGCGTGGGTCGGACAGTCGCCACCTACTCGCACCGCACGGGGGGCATGAGGCAGTGAGGGGGGCCTCTCTCGGCGGGCGGCGGCGTCGGGCGCCATCAGGGTGCGCGCGCCGCCGCCGAGCGAGTCGGCGAGCAGGCGGGTAAGGCGGTGGTTGCGGTACGGGACGGGCGCAGGCGCCGCGTCGGGGGGCAGGCGGCCGTTGCGGGAGAGCGCCTGTGGCGAGGGCGGAATTGGAAGCGCGCGTGAGGAGGCTGCGGCGGAGGGCAGGCTGCGGCGAGGGCGCGGTTGCGGGCTGGGAGAGGGCGGGCGTGGGGAGAGAGTCCGGGGTCGCCTGCAGCACGTCGCCGAGTGCGTTGAGCGACGCCTATGTGACATGCTTCGGACATGCTTCGGACATGTCTCGGACATGTCATGTCCAGGGCGCGTCGAGGGGCGCCTTGATTGCAATCGACTCGGTGGCGCCCGCCGCGTCGAGGGCGGCGCCGTGCGCCTCGGAGCCGGCCAGGTCGACGAGGGTGAGCTTGCCGCACCGCACCATCGCCCCTCCCGGCGGCCTCGAGTCCAGGTGGAGCGTGAGGATCACGTGGGAGCGCGAGGAGTGGTCGTTGGTTGCGGTCGCGCTGACGGCGCGGGCAGCGAGCGCTCGGGCGAGCAGCGAGTTCATCGCGTCGCGGCTAGGCACTGGCGTGCGGAAGGTGGATGAGCCGCTCAGGTAGGCCACGGGCGGCCCGCCCCGCACGCTCTTCGCCTCGCGCAGCGAGATAGCGGCCTGCGCTCGCCGCGCCGCCTCGGCCGCCGCCGGCGTCGCCCCTGCGGTGTCTGCGGCGAGGAGGTCTCTGAAGAGGTCATTGTGGAGCTCGACGGCGGTGAGGGAGACGTGCCACTCCGTCTGCGGCGTCGCGTCGATCCGGTCCCACACCAGGTCGCTCGCCCGGGGCACCACCCCCGGGCAGCCCTCGCTGCCGACCATCGTGTGCGTCTTGCCCGAGCCGGTCTGGCCGTATGCGAGCACGCAGGCGTGGCCGCCCGAGAGCGCCGAGAGCACGAGGGGGCGCGCATGCGCAAACAGATCCGCCTGCGCGCCACCCTCCTCGCCCGCCACCGCGTCGAACGAGAAGCGGTGCGCCTCACTCGCCCGGCGGCTGGCGGACGGCGTTGCGCGGCCGCTCGCCCGCGAGGGCGTCTGGGGCGCATGCGCGGCGGAGGCCTCATCCGGATCGAAGGCCTGCGCGATCGAGACGCTTTCGCCGCCCAGCTCGGCCATGCACGACGGCGGCTCGCCCTCGCCGTGCGGCCGAATCCGGAGCACCACCTGCATGCGCTGCTGCTGCTGCGGGCGCCCGCACGCGGGCGCGCCAGGCGACGCGGCGCCGTTGTCCGCTGGCGGCGCGCGCGAGCGCGAGGGCGTGACCGCCGTGACGAGCGGGGTTGGCGAGAGGAGCTCCATTCGACTCTCCATGGCAGTTTTGAAAAGCGCTGTTTTTCTTTTGGTATGCCGGTGTGTTTCTAGTCCCTTGCGAGGCGAGTAGAGGAGGCCCCGCCCACCCAGGGTACCCTCTCCGAGGACCCGGGCTCGCCGGGGCAAGCGGCGCTCTGCTCCAAGAGAGCGTGCGCCGTGCGTGTCCGTGTGATTCTATACTCGCCAGTTCAAGTCCGCGGACCGCGCCAGTCTGCGCCCTTGTCGTGCCAGTGTGCTGTGAGGTGTGAGGACTGTGAGAGAGGCTTGTATTTTAAGATTCTTTTGGATGTCGGAAATGGGACGCGCTAAGGAGGCGCGCTAGGATCCAACTCAAGTGCTTGTTTAACGTGTGAGTATTACGAGAGATACTCAATGGACTGCGGCAGCTCACTGCGCGGCACAACGATTCATGAGGTCGCTCAAGTACGAAGTGGTCGATCAGAGCACGAACTGCCGCAGCAGCACGGCGCCGACGAGGAGGCCGGCGTTGAGCACCGCCAGCTCGAGCAGGTCCTCCGACGAGCCCGCCCGCCAGAGGAGTGCGAAGCGGTTGCGCGCGTGCCTGGCGACCGTGTCGGCCCAGCCGGAGCACAGCTCGGTCGCGTTGCGCCCGGCCGCGCGCTCGCCGCCCGCGCCGACCTCCTCGAGCGAGGCGCACCGCGCAAACATGCCGTGCAGCCGGGAGGCGGGCGGCGCCCCCGCCCCCGCCGCCCACAGCTCGTCCTCACCCACCGAGACGAGGCCGATGAGGGCGAACCGCGTGCCGTGCTGCGCCACGGGCACGCCGCGGTGCAGCAGCTTTGACGGGAAAAGGAGCGCGTTCCCCTGCGGCTCGCGGCGCACCTGCCCGAGCGCGTCGAACTCCAGCCCGCCGCCGCCGTACTCGTCCGCCGCGTTGAGCGCGACCGAGAAGCTGAGCGTGTACGCGTCGACGTGCAGCTGCAGCCCGCTCACGCCGCCGTCGGCGTCGTACCGCGCCACGTACAGGTCGGCCAGCCGGAGCCGCGCGCCCTCGAGCGGGTAGAGCCGGCGGAGCAGCCCGAGCGTGCGGTCGACGCCCGGCCGCGTCGCCGCGACCAGCGCGGGCAGCTCGGCGACGCGAACCTCCTTGGTCGGGAGGTAGTGCTGCGACTCCTCGGCGCTGTCCCAGAGTGGCGGGCCGCCGCTGAGGACACGCTCGCCCGCCGCGTCCTCCAGCACGCGCAGGATGGCGTCGCACTCGGAAGCGAGGAAGGCGGAACCGTCCGCCGCGATGAAGACGCGGGCCGGGAGGTGCAGCGCAAACTGGAGCCAGACAAAGCCGGCCGGGAGGAGGACAGAGACGAGCAGGAGGAGCGTGCCGAGCATATGCTCGACGCCAACTGTCGACGCGGCGAATAGAGCGATGGGTGCCCTACTGGGGGCTTCGTAGCGATGCCCGCGCGATTGTTGGCGCTGTTGGCGCTGCGGGAGACGAGTTTTGAAGAGGGCCAAAGGGCCGCGGCGGCGTTGAGTGCACGCTTGAAAAGAAAGAAACACGCACAACGCAAAGGACGGAAAGAAGCCCTGGCTGGGCGGCACAGAGGGTTTGACTCTGACTCTGTGCCGCCTCTGTGGCCTCTCGTAACTGATTTTGGCTTCCGTGCTCAGAGGGTCCCTGGCCGAGGCGCGAGGGTCTGTCTTGGCGCGGCACAGAGGGCAAACAAATGACGTGTGAGTGTTAGAGTTGTTTGGTATTGCTAAAATCTCTCTCTCTCAGAGGGTAACAACAACAAATCAGAGGGCTTTGACCTCAGAGGGGTAGCCCCCTCACGCGGCAGAGCCTGCCGAGAGCCCCGGGCGGAGGCGGAGCTGCCTAGCCCTCCACGAACGGCGCTGACCAGTGAGAACTCTCTCTCTCTCTCTCCCAGTGAGGGCGGGGAGGGGCGGCAGTAAAACCAGAGTAAAACATATGACTTTTCGCAGCGACCATCTACTAAAGGCGCTACTCTATACGCTCGCAAGCGCGCCCGGCACCACACACGCTACCTTACTGCTGCAGGCCGAGGACCCCTCGGCTTGCCCTTGTCGGAGCGCGGCTTCCTCTTGTTGGTGGCCTCGAGCTGCGCCGCTTCGGCCAGGATCCCCTTCTTCAGCAGATCGCCGTGACAGGACTCAATCCTTCCCGCGCACAGGAGAACAAGATCCGTGCCGTCTCGGACCTTCTGTGCCAGTTCGCGAAGCGCTGCCGACCGTGTCCTCCAGAGTCGATCGGCCTTGCCGTCCAGGAACGCGTCGGCGGTCTCAAGGACGCGACCCTCGCTGGAGCGCACCCCCCTCGCCGGCGTGGCCCGGTCGACTCCGTGCCGCGTCGCGGCGGCGCGCGCCGAGGCAGCATCACCCTGACCCTCCCCCCCCGTTGCATACGCTGCCCGGAGTGCCTCCGTGGCGCAGGCGCACCCTCCATGGTGCCCCCGGCGATCGAAGCACGTGCGCTCCCTGGCCCTTCCAGTCGTGAAGGGCGTCGCGAGCTCGGGGTGCCTGCCGGATCTACTGAGATCCACCCGAAGGTGCCCTGCGGGAGTCCTGCCTCCCTGGCCGACGACTCTAACACGCCCGAGGGCGAGGTTCGGGGAGGGACTGCCCTCTCCAGCCCCGCCGCTTTCCGGACCCCCTGCGCCGCGACCCTGTCCGTCGCCCTCATTCGTCTCGCCCGCCTCGTCAGGCGCAGGTCTGCCCTCCGCCTCGCCCTCCTCTGAGGAGCGGCCTCGCGGGGCTTGCCTTGGCGTCTCAGAGGGTCCCCGTAGCCTCAGAGGCTGCGCTGAGACAGGCTAGCTGGCTTGGTGGCTTGCTTGGCGGCACAGGCCTTCAGAGGGTCGGCCCAGGCACCCACCCTCTGAGCCGCTCGTGGATGGCCTCTCTTGGCACAGAGGGTACCCTCTGAGACGAGCAGATCTGGGCCCCCTTGCCTCAGCCCCCCCGCCGCCCTTTGCGCCGCCGCCCGGGAATGTCCTCCGGCGCTCGGTTATCTACAGCGGGCTCGAAGGTGCACATCTTCCGCCGATGGTGGCTCCACCCAAGCACCGAACAGCCGAGAACCTCACCGACCTGCCGTCAGACCTGCTCTGCAACATCTACTGCGCGCTGGCCAACCCTCTCGCGCCAGCCGCAGCCTGCTACTTTGCCAGCACGTGCCATGATGTGAGAAGCGCTGCCCTCGCCCGTGCCGCCAGCGCAACTTTCTCCGAGGCGCAACATCTGCAGTGCTTCTGGGCGAGGGCGACAGCGTTGTGCAAGTCGAAACGGATGACGCGCAGCCTGCTGAGCCGCGCAACGCAGTTCACAGCAGGGCCGGTCATCTCTGGCGAGTGCTTCAGCGCCGCCGACGCTGAGATCTTTGGTCAATTGCTCGGCGCTCGTTCCATCACACGGCTGCACATGCTCGTCCTCGAGCAAAACCAGCTCGGGGAGGAGGGGATGCGGCCGATCGTGCAAGCCGCTGTCTCTAAAAAAAGACGACGCGCTGCCCGTGCTGAGAGACCTCGAGCTCTACGAAAATGGGCTCGGCGATGGCTTCTGCGCGGCGCTTGCAGCGGCGCTCGCGTGCCCGGCGCGCGTGCTCCCGGCGCTGGCCATCCTCAACCTCAGTCGCAACCGCGTCACCAGTCAAGGCGTGGCTGCTTTGGCGGCTGCGCTGTCTCGAGGCGCGCTTCCACACCTCACGACTCTTGACCTCAGTGACAACGACATCGACAGCGCTGGCATTGAGGCGCTGGCCGAGACAGGCAGGCAGGGCCTCCGAGCCCTGGAGACGCTATACATCCAAGGTCAGAGCGGCGGGTCCGCAGCCAGCCTCGAGGCGCTGGCTGGAGCTCTGGAGAACGGCGCCTTCCCAGCACTGCGGGAGCTCTGGCCGCCCGGACACTGGCAGCACCCTAGTGCAGCTCGCCTGGCCACCGCGTGTGCGGCGCGGGGCATCACACGGGGTGTCGGGTGTGTGTGAAGCGCAGACTGTCGTGGCACTGGCGAGGTCGAGCAGGTTGAGCACGTAGACGGGTCGATTCCTTCTAGTCAGGGACCCCACGATCGTCTGGCGAGAAGGTGTACATGGCCTCTCGCTTGTACATCTCTAATAAACTGTCTCAAAGGCAAACACAACGTCCTGCGGTTGGCACACCCCTCACACTGACAACCCGCTCAGGGCGCAGGGGGGTCGATCATCCAGCGGCGGCGCCAGGATGGTCCCCCCCGCCTGCAGACGGACAGCCTCAGTCGAGAGACAGTCCCCTACAAGCTACGGCTTTTTACCACGCACTTTGAGCACATCTCCGATCTCCCTGCTTCAACTAGTACTGCACTTTAAGATATTACTCTCCATACTCGCATCTGACCTCTCTGTATGAGCACATCGGTCACACGCGGTCAGGCACAGAGCTATTGACCCTGTACAGTACGGCTCTCTCGCACGGTAGGACTTAGCTAGTAGTGGTCCTATAGACCGCCGGCCTCCACTCCTCCGGCACTCGGGTCTCCTTCCATCCCACGGTGTCCCGGAGCCAAGAGAGAATGACGTACCAGGCCCTGGCCACCTCGGAGTGCTGGGGATCGCTCCCGCCACAACAGCCGAGGTTCTCCACCAGCGGTAGTCCGACGATCGGTGAGATGTGGAAGCCCCTCTCAACCACATGGGTGGTCACAAGCCCGCCCGGCGGTGCTGCTGCTGTGGCCGAGATCTGGTCTCGCAGGATCTCTTGGTCGCCCCACGCGATGAACGTCGTTGGCCAATCGCGCCAATATGGTTTGAGGGTCTTCTTATTGTGGAGCCCGGGCGAGCACAGCGGTTCCGTGTTTCGGGTCTCTGCAGACGCGTACACCGCGCACACCTCTTGATAGCCGTTGTGCGGCAAGATGTCGGCGAGTCCGTAATTTGCTAGGCCGCCATTCTCACGTGGAGCATTGGCCGCCATCGAGCTCACGTGCTCCTTGTCCGACGAGCCGTCAGACAGGTCAACAAATGGTGAGATGAGCAGCATGCCCGCGGGGCTGGCGATAAGTCGTTCAGGCGAAAGCGCGCAGAGGAGGGTGCTCATGGCCAGGCCGCCGCCAGCCGAGTCGCCCCCGAGGATAACGTTCTCGGGCCCGTACACCCTGACGAGATTGGCGTACGTCCGAACCCACTGAGCCAGCTGCGTCGGGTAGAACCCAACGTTGCCCGATGTGCTGCTCGCGAGGGGGTACTCACCCACGAGCACGACGTGGCCCGTCTGCTGACACAGGAAGAGCGCGATCAGCCACAGGTAGACGGCCGACTGAGTCGCGATCCAGCCCGACCCATGCGCCCAAAAGATTACCTTGGAGCCAGGCTTGCCGACGGCCACGTTGGTCTCGAACGGCCTACCGTTGTCGTCCCTCGCGCCGGGAGGTGTCGGCAGTCGGCCACGAAGCTGCTCTCCCGCGGCGTTTTTGAACGCCTTTGGGAATGCCCAGTAGCCGCCGCACTCGCCCGCGTGCATGAGCTTATCGGCCGAGCCGAGGGCCGAGCTTGCAGGCATGTACGTCGCATCGGGCGCGAAGCCTGCCCGTGTGCAAAGGCCACAGCAGCCCGTCTGATAGCGAATGCAGAACGGGAAGATGCATGGAATGGACACGAGATAGTTGGCCATCGCCTCAATCTTCCTCGCAAAGTCCGTCGGGCCGGGCGAAGGGTAGGGTGGGTCGAGTGTTGGATCGGTGGGGAGCGGATAGGTCTCGATCACCTTCTCGGAGCTCGCCACCATCACACGCTGCGTCCAGTATCGCACGCTGTCGAGGCGCTGCGCCGAGGATCTGCAACAGACACAGCCAGCGTCGCAGACGCCGTCGTGTCCGCTGGCGCCGAGACCGCTGAGCGGGCAGCAGCAAGTGATGCAGCCGCACGGGCAAGCAGTCGGCCAGATGAAGCGGCCCCCGACGTCGTTCCCAACGGAGCAGCAGAAGTAGAGGCAGAAGGAGATGAAGTAGGGTTGGCTTTCTCCCGCTAGCCAGCTTTCAGTTTCGACTGCCTCCAGTTTTGAGGAGGACGAATGATTATACCGTGTGCTGCAACAGATGACCAGGCAATCGCCGCAGGCATGGAGCCAATCCGAGAAGCAGTTTGGCGCATCGCCGGGCGCAAAGAGGTCCTCGTCTGAGTAACGCAACTCGTCTGAGTAACGCACCTCTTCCTGATCAGCATCGCGTAAAACCTGCTGTGGCTCCGGGGCGGCGCCGAAAAAGCGTGGCACAAATGCGTTCTCATTGCGTCGGCGCTCGAGGTACTCCTGGCGGGGCGGAGCAACCGACGGAATCATGGTGGGGTGAAAGTCGTGCAGCTGAGTCAACCGTTGCCGAGGTCGAGAGCCTCCTCGTCAAGAACGTCGTACTGCAGGCTATAGTCGAGCAGACGTCACCTACCTGGTCGCGTGCGTCCAGAGGTATGGTCCGGGGGGGCGGGGGGGCGCGCGTCCAGAGGTGCTGAACGCAACCAAGTCGAGTAAAATTCGTGGGCTTTTTGCCCCGAATTAACATTTATTCACTTCGACGACGAGACGAGAATGGTAAGTGATTGGGCGGGACAGCGGGACAGCTTGTTAGCGGTTTGAGAAAGAACAAGCGGAGAGGGAGACGCCAACGCAACAGCCCCGCCGAGTTTTTTGGCGCGGTGTTCCAGGCCCCAGGGTGCAGGGAAAGTGTGGTCTGTCACGGTGAGTGAGTGCGTGTCCCATCGTGTGCGTGTCCCCATGTCGATGTGGGACCCCTGCCGGGTAACCGGTCTCGCAACATCAGTCCTGCAGCCCGGTCGCGTGTGGCGAAGTGGCCATGCACGTATTATACCCCCCTTAGCGCCGCTGTGCGGCCAAGGGCGGGGGAGGGGGGGGGGGGGGGGATGCGTACTCACCCGCAGCAGGGGCGCCCCCCTTGCCCCTGGCGCGCGGCGTCTCACTGTCCGCTCCCGTTGTGCGCCTCGTGCATCTTCACATCGGGGGCCTCCTCCGCCTTGACCGCGGGAGACGGCGCCAAAGTGATCGCCACCATGTTGGGCGGCTCGGGCTGCGGCGGCTCTGGGTGCTGCTGCTGCTGCTGCTGCTGCTGCTGCTGCTGCTGCTGCTGATGCTGCTGCTGCGGCTGCTGGTTGGCCTGGAACTGTGCCTTGAGCTGCTCTGGGGGGATGATCTTGCGACGCTCGAGCGAGAGGGGCTC